TAAGAAAAATCATAAAAGGAAGTATAATGTAAGATGCATTTAATCAGGAACAACACAAAGATAGAGAAAAAAATTTATTCCCATTTTCAGCAATACCACAATACTGCCCTGACAGTTCCTACAAAGGGCAGAAATTTCCAACAATTTACGTTTACTTTGTATTTCCCAATAGAATAATGAAAATCTACTAAAAGCCCAAGAACCTGAGCAAGGAGCTCAGAAATCCTAGGGGGGTAATGAAACATAAATTGGCAGGGCCTACAGAAAGGCAGCACACCTCCATGATCCCATTTCTGTCACCTGGCAGCTGATGTAATCATTACATGCAATTAAAATCACTGACGGGCCAGAAATTCCCAGGTTTATGCGCCATTACCACTGCAGCTGAGAACACACCAGGAGATGAGGGCTCGTTTAAAGTGTTGGCCCTTCCAACTTGGATACATACCTGCCACAACCTTGGGGTGAGATTGGGGGATGAAGTGACATCTGTAGAACATTTAGCACAGGGGTTGTTACGATGACTATCGATACTGTACATGTACCGGTACATTGTAAAACACCGCCCTTTCAGGACTTTTAATAGTTATACATGTAGCTCCATGTAATAGCTCTAAAAAGATAAAAGATCCTTCCAAAATGGCTTTGACTACATTTCCGCGTGTGGAACATTTTCTTTTTTTGCACTAAGTGTACTAAAATAATTTTCTGCCTCAAACACTATTATTGAATTTTCCTGCTCAAATTTCCAATTTACAGTGTTGTGCTGTCTTAGCCTTACCAACTGGTAACAACAAATGCAAGATTTACTCGAGAGTATCAGAATTAAGAAGACACAGACCTGACAGTCTAAACCATCCCAGGATCTGTTCGTATTTTGTTTCATTTTGTTTTGTTTCTTTTTCATTTTGTGGGGGGGGGTGTTTTATTTGTAGGGGGAGGTTTGGCTACTAAACCACTTTGGAAAAGATTCCAATTCCATCCGGGAATCACACTTTATCTTAAAACTGAATCCAATTTCCAATGGTGAAAGCAACACAGACTACTGCCAAACTGCCTTATGTGGAGGTTGTAAGGTGCACAGGTGGATTATTCATCACTCAGCAAAATTCATCAAGACATTTGATCTATTTCCGTAAAACATGATTGATTGTCCAGACGAAAACAGTCTTAAATTTTCTTTTCATAAAGTGGAGCAGGATTCATTACAGTAATTAATTCATCAAAAACATTAAATTACAATTTCACTGGCATAGAATTTCCTAACAGCAGTGAATCAGCACAATATTTCATGGAAAAGAACCAGGAGAATCAATCTTGAGTTTCTTCTGAAAATCAGCCAGTTTCTGTGAAATCAAGTTACACTGTACATTCCCTGTGACTCAGCCATAATTGGAACCATGAGTCTAAGTTCAACCAACCTCCTTCTAAGTTCGGCCAACCCAGGAGGTTACCAAAGCAAGGACCATTCACAATAACTGGTCCTCACTCTTTTTTTTTTTGGGGGGGGCATTGTTCGCTGTGATTGACAGTTTGACACCCCCCCTTTCATCTCAGCTCATTCACATCCACCTTGAAAATAAGTCCATCGGTTTGTCCGGTTCCCCCTTCCCAGCATCTAAGACATTAGGGAAGACACATTGTGAAGCCTTGGCTGATATACATTTATCACGATTTTAATGGCACTTTGAATCAATCACGTCACAAAGATCCTTGGTACATGTACCTACATGTACATACATGAACAAGTGCGTGCATGCACGCCTTCAGATAACCAGGGAATGTGCATAAGTGTACACTGTACATGTACAATGTACCGGGTACCGGTAAGTGCACAGACAAATGTTGGGGATGGAGAGGCCATGAAGAGTAGACCCTCATTCCGTTTTTGTATCCTTGTGGAGACATGGCTTACAATATTTATTTTGCCAGCAGAAGATCAGAGTAACCGGAGATCGAGTTCGCCTTTGCTTTGCTTTACTGATTGTGACTTTTTTGAATAACTAATGCTATGGGCTTTTTACATGTATTTGGTGCGAGGATATCTGAGCAGAAAGGTGCAGCCTGAAAAATAAGATTTCCCGTAGCCTGTTGGCAAATTCACGAAAATGTCGTGATCCCGCAGAAAGTATTCTAAGGCTTGCCGCTGCTCAGCACGAAAATCACCCAACATTAATTCATCTGCAGCGGAATTCAAGCAACAAGATAACTCGTCGTGCTGCAGCCATTTCGGAAGGTCCACCATTTTACATGGTTATCATGCATGCCAGTTCACATTGATGCATTTTGCTCACTGTGCACTTACCGCACGCCTGCATCTATTCATATTCACAGACGAGGTCATACACTAGAAATCTAGCTCAAAAGTAAAGAAAAACATAAGCTTCCACGGACGGTTGCACTAAGGCGTTCGTCCTGGTTTAGCTGATTTGTATATTTCTTAGGTCGCATGAGGTTGCTCTCTGTCTTGATTTTGCAATGTACGCAAGTGTGTACGTACGCAGGTACATGTACTTACCAGTAGGCCTACTAGGTCACTGAGCCGCTGGTGCGTGCTGCACTGCGCTGCGACGAATGACCAAATTTAATTTCAACATGAATGAATCGTGGAATAACGTGTGGACAAAACTGACCTTGCATGTACATCCTGGCATAGTTGTTTCTAATTGACCCAATTACATGTACATGAACGTGCATTTTCCATTTACCAATAACAGTTCTGCATTTCCCCTTTGAATTACTGACTCTGAAATCTGCGTAGCTGTACCGTACATGTATGTAGTTTTAGGTGAATTCTGCATTTGTACATTGTATTAAGACAGTTAGTAATGTCTTGGCCTGTACCCAATTTGCAAGGAACTACTGTAGGCCCATGGCGCTGCTTACTGCAGAAGTCTGTGCTTACATGTATGATCTCCATTTTGCGCTAACTGCACTGACAGAAAAATTCTGCACTTTTAAGCACAGAATCCTTAGTTATGGGATGTACATGTACATTGTATGTATGTGCACAAGCCTAAATTCCTCACTAACCCATGAAACATGTTCGCTGTAAGCACAGAATTTTCTGCTACGGTAAGCACCCATTTTTTTTGCTGGCAATAAGCAGCACCATGAAATTGGACCAAGCACATTGACCATTCCCCACTAAGGTGTGTTCATGTACACATACCGGTATACATTTCAATAAAGCAAAATTACTAAAAAGCCATGCATTGATTTATTGCCCTTTTAGGGCAGTTTCTTCAATTCTGTAGCAATTGCAAGGATCACTTTAGGCCGACACTTTGTACAGTATGTGGCACATACATTCTAGAAAAATGGGATGATTTATTAAGTGTGAAATTTCATTTTGTGAGCTTCAGCTTAGAAATTTATCAGATAAATTAGGCACTGTCACCAGACAACATTTGGAAAAGCAAGTTGTAAGTTCAGTCCACCCTCTCAGATGACAAAATATTTTGGAAGAGTTTCCCTGATGAATTTCATCCACTGAAGATTTGTTTTCCACAGGTGCATGCTCTGTGTAGGGCTTCAGCTCAGAGTTTTCCCAGGGCAAAAGCATCTCTCTTGGACCCCGGAAGGTCATGACCTCCCAAAGGCACTCCCAACAATTTAGTGTGAGCGCGATGACCCTGAGACGACAAACAGGGGGGGGTTTAGGAAATTTCACACTTTTTACTGATTTTATAATCACATAAAAACATGCTCTTTTTTTGCAAGTGCTGAAGACAAGGAAACCAAGTTGGCTGATGAAATTAACTACACGTACATACAATCTAAGCTTGTTCCAAGATAAAGTATGGGAAAAAATTCAACACTGTACAAGTTCCACTTCCGGCAAGTCAAGAAATGCTACTTGCTAGTGGTTTACTCATGAAAGCTGAACACAGCAAGGGCATTAGGCCACACTACATGTACATGTACCAGTACATTAAAGTTCAGTCGAATGTGCACAAAACTACACCTTGCCAGACATGCATGCATGAGACAGGTGTGATGCACCTATACAAGAGCACAGGGTGACAACAGCACCCCTTTAGTGACAGTAACACATGCACATGTACATGTAAAAAATCAAAACCCTGCCCTCTTTCCACAAAACTACATGTACTGAGCATTTTTACAGCAGGTGTACAGCAACCTGGCCATCACCAAGATGTTCATCAACCTCAATCCTTCACCGCTCCCGGCCCCAAGTGCAGTGACGTATTTTAAACACCTCCTAATGCGTTTCCCAGAATTAAAGCCTGGCATACATTCAAGCTAACGACCAAACGATGATTTATTCATGGTTGAATTATGGAATGCAGAACTTCACACCAGGGAAAGTGTTCACAGGTGATCAGTCAAAGAGACGTTAATCCAGTCACCTTCCAATGGACTTGTGAGAGTCTACATGTTACGCTGTTTACTTGGGCTCAGTGTTACATGTACTTTCAGCTTAAAGACACTTATTACTGGTTAATCATAAAGTGTCTTTTATCTGGATGATAAACTCTTTTTGGGGGTTGCACCATACATGTAAGGTAACAGGTACATCGGCTAACTGTTGAGCAAACAGATTACCCAACTGCATTGATTTTCTCCCTATGGGTGGAAAAACTTGTCTCATTTTACCCAATGGTTGAAGAAAATGTTTTGTTCAACCATTTTTTTATCCAGTGTCATGACCTTTTGGCCTGACAGTTATGCCACTTTTTTCAGTGCGTCAAGTGCGGATGTAAGTTTGTGGCTGCGTGGTCACCATGATCATGTTTATCCCATTATTTCCCTCAAAAATCAAAACCCTGCCCTCTTTCCACAAAACTAATCCTGCATGGGGTCACTGTCGTATGTTTTGGAGAATCTAAAAACTTCAAAGTTCTTCACTTTTTCATGGGAACAGTACCCTGCTGTTAACAAATGCCAAAAGTAAAAAAGGACTTGACAGAAGGTTTCCAAATCAATGATTTAAAAATCTAAGTTTTAAAAACTAAGCATAGTTCAAGTAAACTCACCAGTTGTTTCAGTGTTGGCCCAGCATGAGTAGCTCACAAGTACAGTTTAGAGGCAGTCCTGCCAAGAAAAGATAGCGAAAAATCTTCAACTGAAAAAAAGTGACTTTAAAAATTGTCCGAGAGGCAAAAAGCATCCATGCATTGGTACAGGGGTAAACACATCGAGTATGAACAACAAATGGTCAAACAGACCGTGGGCAATGTTGTTACATGTTCATCCTTGTATCTTAAAAGACGCTACATTATACTGTACCTGTTCAAGTTTTAACTTCCTCTAAGACGTGTCTCGTCCGTAAGACTAGAAAGCTATTACACCACCAATATTATCTTGCAACAAATATAATACAAACAGTCCTGAGCCATCATCATGTACATGCTGCTAACACTAAAAGGTAAACTATCAGACGGCAGCAACTAAAAACAGAAACAGGTACCAGTATGAATCCCCAGTGCTTGGGGAGTGAATTAAAAGTTTCCAGTCACAAAGCTATCCTTAAACTTGAACAGCATTTTGATAAAAAGTACACGGGGGAGTGCTGGGAAAAAGCTATAGTGTAAAGAGGTGCATATTGCTGAATCATCACAAATATGTTACTTCCTAAAAGATAGTTGGGAAGATCCTGGGGGAGTCATTGCCCGTGTTACTCTGCTTCTGTTCTGGCCGTTTCCTTTTATTAATGATAGGTGTCTGTCATTATGACGACTTCCTGCTGGAAAAGACTGAGCCTCGTACAGAGACCACCTCCCAAACCACACATGTACATGTACATATGTACATATTTATGGTTTTCTGCCCAGAATTGCCAAGGGAGCAACACAGTCTTTGCTCTCTGTCACCAGAAAAATAACTGCAACTATCAAAAATGCATTTCAGGCACTCTGCCGGTTCTGACCTGTGGGGCCTCAATGCTGCCAGGAAGGTTTACTACTTGACCCATGGAGTCAAGCCCCATGACCTCTGGTCTGGAGTATTTCACACTTGCATCACATCTGCTCCAGGTTTGCAAGGGGCCCTGGAAACAAATCCAATTCAGAGCTACCAGGCACATGGACAACAACCAGGAAAAATCAACATCTGGAAATTTGGGATTCCAATGAGTTCAAGGCATCCATCACTTTTCAATGCCAACAATGTTGATCAAGGCTAGTGACATTTAGTTGAGTTAACAATGTCATTTCATATTGGGTAGAATTTAAAAGCTTGAAAGTTTGTATACTTTTATGTTATTGTAACAGAATTTCCGACCTAAGATGCACCCCCAAAGTACACGCACATGTACCCCAAGATACAACTCAATCCCTAATACCAATTTATTAAGGCTCTATGGAGAAGAGTAAAGCCTGGTTTCCACATGGTCATTTGTAATGCAGACGGTCCACAAGACGTGAAAACCCAGACACAAAAGAAGAGATGGTGCTGCATAACGTCAATCCACCCAAAAATTGAAACAAAATGGCGTCCAAAAACTCCGTAATTTTTTGCAGAAAATACTCTTTCAGATTGACTGTAGCACCTTAAGATGCCAAACCAGTACTCCAGTTTCAAATATTTCTTTGATGGTCAGCTATTTACATGTAGCTAATAATAAGGGTGTATAAGCATTTAGGAGAAAATGAGCTAAATTCGTGAAACTGAGCGAGAGGGACTATGTTGCACACCGGTCATGCCAGCATGCGTGTTTGTATGGGGATACCCTGGCTACTCCACTCAGACAGTCAGCAAAGTTCAACCTGGCTCAACTTTGCCAATCGTTCACGGCCTGGTTTGCATTTGTCTGCGTTGTCGGCGACACCTCCGTTTGACATGTTTCCATGTGTCCGTGTTGCAGTTTGCGTCTTGATTGTGTTGCTCTCTGCGTTTCTTACATCGACATGCAAACCAGGCTTAAAGCGCACACTGAGTACAGGGAAACTAACGACTTGAACCCTTTTCTAAATGGCATTCAGCTGTACTTGACATCTGCTGCACTTGACAGTAACAAGAAAAAGAAATTAATTGAACGCTAGTCCCGAAGTCCAACACCCACTGCAAACCAGGTCGTCGAACCCCCCTTTTATAAATAGAGGCACATTTTTAGGAAGAGAAAATCTTTCTGCACTTGCACTTTGGGCAAATGGACATTTGTTGAGTGAGTGTTGACGTTGGATTTGGACACTGCAGGCAGGGTGTGCAGCACATCAGATGTGAGATCTCTTGAGAAATTGGTCAACAGAAGGGTGTCTGTTGAAACACTGCTCGTTACACAGAACAGAGTACTTGACCTTAAATCATCACCTCTTGTTATTAACTTTCTTTCCACACTGTGTGATGAGAAAAGACTGAAGAAAATAACCTCTACTACATGTGCATGCAGTCAGTATTCAGTAAGAGTTTCTTTTAGGAAGCCTTTCCCTGTATCTTTGTAACTCACTATATTGAAAGCAATTGCCACATTCTCTGTAGTTTGTCAGGAATCAAGGCACAACAGTGTTAATTAGCAGCTTTCCTCAACCTTGCAAAGTGCTCCGAAAGACTGAACTTTCTCAGTGAATTCGGAAGAAGGCAGATTAGTTGTGGTCAAGTCTAAACTAAATTGTACATGTGCCTTATTGCCCTTCTCCCAACCACTATCTTGTAGCATACATGTACATGTATGTGAGCATGTATAAAGTGTGCCCAATTGTAATGTCAAGGACTCTCCAGTGATTTTGTACTAGTTAACAGCACACTACACTGCTAATTACCACTCCGAGCTGTGTCTAAGCAAAAAGGGATGTGGGGGACTTAAAGGTGTCCTCTAGCAGACGCCTATTATTTCCCCCCCCCATGCCCCTGGTAACCCTTTTCTATTAGGAGAAGTATGAAATTTTGTACACAGCCTTTACACAAGCCACAGTTGGCACCCCCAAGTGCCCACTCAGAGATTTTCACCCAAGTTATGCCACTGCTGCGGCACATAGACTTCACACACAAACAAAGATTGCCAATAACTAAAAAAAACACTATCTGACTGATAGTTGAACCATCATGCTCCCAACAGCGGTACATGTAAATCCAGTACATGTAAAAATTGAAATTTATTGAACAATAATTTTTGCCCCCCCGTAGCGAGACAATTCTTCTTTTATCAAAGGACCTCCAAAAATATTTCACTTCCTGCAGTCAACAGCTTTGTTGTTGTCAGAAGTTAGCCTTGGAGGGTAAACATGATTACTTCTGGGTTACTGGCAAAGTCTAATCCTCTTTCCCCCTTTTTTTTTTTTTCAGAAATTGTCCTACTGATCCGTCAGGGTCTCTCCACTCACAGTGCAAGATCCTGGCAGGTGGGGAGTTTGTGTGCACAAATTGGTCATTCATTTTTGAAAAGTCGCAATCAGACAAGTGAAGTCAATGTTCTGAAGCGATTATCCGCATGAGAGCATCCTCGGACTGAACAATTGGTCGCCCAGACGTCGGCACCCTGAAAGATGGACATTAAGTGCATCAACTTAGAAAGCGGGATCAAGACATCAAAGTGGCAACTGAAACAATTTGGAATGCCAGGTTACAGTATCTGCCTGTTGAAAGCTGATACCTCCTGCAAAGGTGCATGTAGAGCTGACCAATCAAACGCTTACCCTCCTCTCTCCACTTTTATCAGCACATTAAACTATATGAAAGGTATTTTTCAACAGTTTAATCATGAACGGGAATACGTTGTACAAACAAATGAGTGCTCCTGAAAGTTTGGGATGTTACATGTACATGTAATTTTAACATAATTGGACTTTGCTCTAAAGTAGTGGAATTTTATTTAACACTGTGTAGACTCAGTGCTTGAGGATAAAAATTAAAGTCATTCGAATCTTTCATGGCCTCCTTCTAAGCTTGTCATGTAGATGTGGTTGGCCTTCCACTTGAAAATCATGATCAACTGGAAGATTCCATCCCGGCAACATCAAAATTTACAAATTGGTACGTGACAAACTTCTTCAACTGTAAAAATATGTAAGCTATACATATACGTGTACCAGTGTGTTATCAGAATTTTGCCATATAACAAATTAAACAGAATATCATCTTGGGAAACTCACTAAAATACAAATTCACAGAGTCTCAATGTTAACTCTTTCCATGGTCTTACAAAACACAATATGTTATGATTAAAGGCTACCTACATGTACGTGTACTGCACAATAACTTCTGTTAACAACTTCACAACTGTCCACCCAAATCTCATTTAACTATTAAATATTGTGTTGAGCTTTCTCTCCTCCCAACCTCCTCCAACCCAGATTACACCAGCTGCTCAGCAATAACCTGCAGCATTTGCCTTTTGTAATGCAAATTTACCTCAGATAAGCAATGCTTTGAAGCTGGCAAGAACACTACATTTTTTTTCAGCATAGAAACCCCCAAAACACCGTGCCAATCTTTTTTCATTCAGAATAAAAATGGGAAATTCAAAACGTACATGTTGATACATGTAGACACATCTCCACGAAAAAAAAAGTAATGATGTACATTGTACATCTTGATTGCCAGGGGCCTCTTGATAACAGGCAAAGAGCTTGGAACAGCTTACCACAAAAATGCCAAAGATGGTGTGTGGTATATGACCTGACATAAGGTCAAAGAATGGTCACAGAGATGACAAGAATACTGCTGTGAACAGCTCGGTTGCATAATTATACTGCCAACAAATTGCAAATATTCACATTTCTTCTGGCTGGAAACATTCAACATTTTTTTTTAACATTTTAAAATGTAAATACCAAACTGTTTGGAACATCAGCAAAGTCCAAATCAAGATGCAGAGAAGTCTGAAAAATGAGGCAATTCTTTGTAGCAATTTTGAAGAGCCTTTTTACATGACTAAGAAAAAGATGAAAAACTCTGCTAATCCAAGGACAAAGTTCAAGTTGCATTCATGAGGTCAGGCCACATATGCAAATGGAAGATGTCACAAATCTGAAACATCTACCCGGTAGGTGCAATCGCGCAGAGCTCCCGCCAACTAAGACATAAAGGAGTCAGGGTTAAGACCAAGTCTGCAAATGGTTTGATCAACCGCGCAAGTGCTCTCTCAGAGCTCCCACTGCTTTGCACATAGTGCAGTCAAGATCAAATGTGAGTGAAAATTAGTCCATCGCGTAAATTCATGTAAATAAATTGTGGGGAAAGGCAAGTTCCCTGTGAATAGCCACCCACAGGTTGTCTGACATGTAAGCGGTGAGCATTTCAGCTAAAACAAAAACGTTCCGGTAGCAGATGTTGGGGAGGGGGGTATACAGTTGCGTGTTACACACTATGTATTGTATCATAAACTACTGGAACTTCAATGGTTTCCCTGCTAAATTTCTTGGGGGAGGGGGCATCATTGCTTTCTGATGAATCCCAGAATTTCAGAAGTTCGTTGGGTATCATTGCTAGGCATCATCATCCAGTTTGACTTCATGCCTGTGGTACACAAGTGTAGTTTGAAGTTATGCAGTGACTACAGTCACGGAAGCATAGACAGGTTGCTGTCTACTTTTGTTGCACAAGTCTAATACATTGGAAATGGGAACCAGGTCAGTCTATGAGTAGATCTCTGAATTTATTTCCCTTTAAAACAATCTGCCACGGGTATGAATATACTAAAAAAGAAAAGAAAAACATGTACAGAAAGCAAAATACGATCTGATTGAGAAAAGTTTTGAAGAAAATAAAGGAAGAGAAAATAGGAGGGAAATGGCATACAGAACATGGCGCAAACTTGGCACCATGCCATGGCATGGGCCTGCTGAACAGCATGCGTTTCGCTTAAGCCGTCGCAGTACAACACTGTATCATGTATGGAACTTGAAACCTCCTACATATTGGCAATGGTGATTATGCAATGCCATAACTATAGAATTTGGAAGTCACCTCAGCAAGAGTGCCATATACAGACATCACTAATTTTCATTTGTAGTTGTTTATTACCCATCAACGATATTTAATTTCTATAAAAAGTCCAAAAAAATTCACTGAAAATATTGGAACCATTTACATGTACATGTATTTGGGAAACACAAGATTTTCTCACACCAGTTTCACAGGGTTTGTACATGTACACAGGGTACCAAGTGATGTCCAGATATGGAACTCTTCTGCACTTCCGTTCTAAAAAGTTAAATTAAGGTTGTGATGCAACATTGCAAGGTAGGCCCCTCCAGTCATGACAGTATTTTTCTAGGCCTGCTTCACTAATTTGAGATGATGTTTGATGAAAAAAATTCCCCAGGGAGCTTGTTCCAGTCCAATTTGGAGGGAAGTAAGTAATGTCCATGTATCAAATTCTTCCCCAAATACAAATATCCTTGTAGACCAAACAGATCTACCCCCATCTTTCTTTCAAGTTTCATGATCCCAATCCACCCCACCCCGACATCGGTCGTAACATAGTGCTTGGTCACGGTCCGAACCCCACTGTGCACCACTTTGAAAGCTCGCTGCAGTCTTAGCTCGAACACGTTAAAGATCCGCATCGGCTAGATATGACCGCGACTGGACAAGTTTATTTACTCTTGAAATCAACAAAGCCCTCAACACATCAGATGATGGAGTAGTATTTTACCTGCAGAACACCGGGAGAAAACCGAAGAATGAGCTTGATCGGAAATCGCAGTCCTCGGAAATCTTCCACTCAATCCACAGCCTTACATGCATTTATACTACATACAATATACATGCACTGTACTTGTACATATAGGCCTACACTAGGCTCGCGCTGTCAAACCTTGTACCTGCGGGATATGATACATGTGGGATATCGATAAGATGTGGCGCGCCACTTGCTGGCTTGTACCAAAACCACCCCCCCCTGCTTGACCCCACTAACAATGCGAGCAAGTTCGCGAGTCCAGTAAGAAATAACAGCAAAATCCTCAGGCTTTCATGTGTTTCAAATACATATTAAGTATCTAAATTTTATCAATATGTGTCCTGTGCATTTTAACCTATTAAGATGGCATTTACAAGAATTTAATTTACTGGAAGAAGAAACCATTTTGTTAAGTAGGTAAGCCAATTCAATATCACCTTACTGTCGATTGAGGGCGCTATGAATTTTTTAAGCAGTAATGCGTGAAGGGAAAACTTGCGAAAGTTGACACATTTCAAATCTTTACGTTCCTTTTTTTCAACTACCGAGTATTTAATAATTGCAGATGTTTGATACGATCCTTTCTTACTCCACTGATAAAACCCATGAAGTAGATATTTTCTTTTCTAACCCTGAAAATCCTACACAAGTGTGGTGTAGGCCTGGCTGCACGTGTACATGAACGGCACGTCTCAAACTTTGTAGAGGGCGCTCTAAGGTCTTTACCGCATACCGCGTGCCCGGTACCTTGTACCATGGAGGAATGCTCCGTTGAGCACCTGTCAAAAAGTGGTTTTAATAATAGAACACCTTTCAGCGCGAGATACAATGTTGAAAGTACGAGTGCGATGCGCTAACGCGTGAAACCTTGCTCAGTGGTGAAGCTAAGATTATAAAGATAGGCTGTTGCTGAAAACCAACGTTTATGCACAAAATTTGTTGGTCGTTGTAAGCTGATTAGACTCTGTGAATCTCAGCAGTGAGTGATGTTGACAATGACAGATTGAAAGCCCGATCGAAAGTTGAACTTCTCAACCAATACTGAACATGATGGAAGTTTGAATGAAGGTCACGTCAACCACATACTGTATGCATAGCCTAGTGTATTCATTCAGGTCGCCCATGAACAGAGCTTGTTTGGGAGGGTAAGTTGTTTGAGGATTTTCTCCATTCATTTGCTTTGTAATTTTAATGTGACTGGTTACTTCAAGTTTTTCCCCAGTATAAAATGTATCAGCCTATAGATCTATTGGTTATTGAAATGGTTACACCCGTTCTTACTGCGTGGATGACGTTACCTCAGGCTTTGATGAGCACACTTTCGGTCTGAAGATCACATCTAGGGTTTTTTTTGGGGGGGGGCACTACAAGAACAGCCCTCCTTTTTTTAATTTGGAATTTTTCATTTCTTTTTAATTCTATACTGTTCCTTTTATTTCATTTTCTCTTTCTCAGTTTCTTGTGGACAGCAAAGAAAGGATATTTTGTTTTCTATTTTGGGGATTTTTGTGTGTTTGGGAGGGGGGGACTTCCCAATGGCAGACTGGATCCACAAATGATTTGGGCTACCATTAAAGAGCTCTTATTTTGCACACTAGATAGACTTCTGTAAGAAGTGTTGCTAAACAGTTTGACACAGCTGAACAATCTGTCCAAATTTCTTAACCCAGGGTATACTTACTACTTAATCCAGGGTAAGATTTTTTTATAACTGATCCCTTTATTCTTCATTGTTTGTATTTTTGTCATGTGTTAACTTTGAAATCTCCTGTCCAGTTGTCAGAAGCCTTCACTCTGCCCCTTCATGTCAGCTTGAAGTCATTGACTGACCATGTCTCTCAGTGTGGGATTACCTTGCTGTCACTTACTGCAGGTGGATTAGTTGAATGCTTTTTTAATGCATTAACTTTCCCTCATGGCCCTTAAAATAAATGGACTGTGATGTTCAGAAGGTTGGCTAACTCGCTTGTCATAAGAGATAGCAAATATTTGAACTAAGGCAGACACTTGGGGGGAAAAAAATGAAATGAAATGTTAACCTGGCGTCCGAATCTTGAAGTAAAAGAAATTAAAGGCTGAACTTCTGCACTATTCCGCAATATATATCTTTTATAATTTGGGCAGTTATCAGTTCTTGGATGGTCTTTAATAACACTGCTACTGATTTTCAAAAACCTGACTTGACCGAATTCTACTAACAATTTGACGGCAGGAAGACCACATTTCAATTTGCGCTAGAATTGCTAGAATCCATTTGGCGATTCTGTTTATGGCATTTGTTGTTCTCCTTATAAAACGTTCACTTTGGAGAATCTTAACGTTTTCTGTGTCTTCATCTACCTGGTAGACACATTTCTATTTTCTTTATCAGTGCACATCATGCTCCACATTCACCAGTTCTGGAAAGTACCCACTTAAATGTGCACAAGAGAAATGTGGTAAACAGGTGCTCATTCAAAATGACTAATGGAAAGTCATCCTTTCTATGTGTTCTGTTTTCCATTATGCGCTATACAGCTACAAGTATGGAAACCCTCTCCTGAAATTCTGTGAATGCCGGTGGATAAATTTAATACATGTACAATTACAAATGAAGGCACAAAATTGTCTTCATTTGTTAGGAATCTTACAGAAAGTAAGGACTTTTTGCTTGTAAGCCATTGAATTAATGATTAAAACCTTATTTTTTTTACCCATTTAAATTTGTTCTCACACTTTTCTGGCTGTTCATTGTTCAATGTTATGTACATTTATATACCCAAAACATTTCCTAAACGAAAGCTAGTTATGTGATCTTCCCAATTTGATACAGAATAACATAAAAGTCCTTTCACTGTTGAAGTTAAAATCGTATTACCTATAACCTTCTCAGATTACAATACCTTCAACTGTTGAATGTAAAATAAAAACAAAGGGCCAATTAGACTGGCTACCTGTGCTTGTATGGACATTTCAAATTTTGCTCCTTACATGTGAATAAAACTTTCATTCCCCTATTTTCATCCCTAGCTTCTGTGATACATCTTGTATTGCTCCTTTGAAAATATTGGTACATATTCTGTCATTGTCTCTAAGGTGATTAATGAATAACAGGAAATTACTTGTCACGGCAGTTAACAGATTCCTGTTAGAATTTCTTCAATTCACAGCTACTGTAGTCTCAGTGCTCCGAGAAAAATGAAAATTGTCCCCCCCTTTTTTTTTGGACTGCCTGACCCTTGCCATAATTCAATGAGAGGATTTTGTGTCGCGGAGAGTTCTCTAGAAAACACTCCTTCACGTGGGTGTGTTTGCCCAGCTTGCAAGGCGTTTCTATATTGTGGAAATGGCTTAATGAAAATGTGAGAGTGAAAAACCATAATCCCACTTACACGCTTGTACCCTTCTTTTTCTCTTTTTTTTTTGTTGAAGGAGGGTGTGAAATCCATGGACTATAGTGCTTGGCAGACAGCAAATCCAATCCAATTCCATTTGTATAATGTCAGGTGCTCTCACGCATTGTAGGATGTATTTCCTAAAGTGCTTTCACTCGTAGCGTGGCTGGCTGTGTGTTAGTCACGCACTAGCAGCTCCCAGAAGTGAAATGGAGTGTCATTAATTAATGTAAATATTGGATAAATGGCCATCTGCAGCAATAAACAGTACTCAAATCACAATGTATTTTTCAACATGTGATTTCTTTGACTTATGCCTCATTTTTAAGAATTTGATTAAATCTCATTCTTTGATTTTAACTTGGGTTTTAATAAAAGAAACTGAAAAAACTCATTGAGTCAAAAAGGTTCTGGAGCCAAGTAGCTCCAGAAATTAACCAGTCCAAAAATTAATTTCTCGGTTGTGATCAAGTCGTGTCAATGTCCTTTTTTTTAAAGACACGTAACTAACATTCTGTCAAGTTAAAAGTTGTGCATAGTGGTACTTGGGTGAATCAGTGTCATTGGGCGCTTTTTGACCATTTTTTGACACACATAAACACTGTGCAGAAGTGAGCAACATACATATAGCAGAATTAAAATACAAAATTTAAATCATCTGCAGAACATGGCTTTGGAATTTATTCAAATTTCATTAATGAGAGAGTGACTGCTACCGTTTGCTCTAGCTTCAACAAATGCAACAAGACGAACAGCTGAGCAGAAGAATGCGGGTAAAAAGACTGTAAAACTGAACATATTTTGTTAAAAGTATGGTTATCATAGGAGGTTGGTAAGTACAGCACTAACATTAAGAATACAAATGTCAACAATACAAATAGCAGGAAACCAGAATAATAATGGCTAAAGTACATTCACCAGAAAAACACTGGTCAACAGAAAAACACAGTTGTGAAAGGCTAAATCTAAAGAGCGGGCTTTAACGCTGAAAGCTAGTGAACGTTTAGTGAAGTTTTAGCGCGCAAATAAATTTGTGCCGCAATTTATCTTCGTCATTAATATTGTCAAATCATTGAAATTTGGGAGGGGGGATGATCCTATGCCTCCCTCTGGATATATTCACCCATCCCCAAGATTTATGCCCATGTTTGTATACATACCGGTACATAGTATGCCTACATAGAAATCAACATTTCTAACAATCATTTGGTTTTAAACAGTAACATTCCTAGATCGTTCAAAATGCACCAGGAGAGTAAAGGAGGATTTTGCAGGACTGAAGTAGATGGAGCCGAACAGTTTTGTTATTTTACAAAAATGTCCCATGAAAGTGCAAAGATGTACACATTTACCTAACCAAGGTTTTGTTTCCTAGTTTCCAAATGACGTGTTCTTCCTGTTTAGGTTAAATTACTAAAAGAGGCTTTGAAAAAGTGCTGTTATCATCTGTACTTTCGCTCGTGCTGTTTGCATTGTTTTATGTTGAAGTTTTCACGATCCCAATCTTGCACATGCAAACTTTGCTCTTATCAGCATCCTGGTTTTGCCCTTCAATCCTGAAGCCCATTTCAGGCTGCAACTCTGCACCCCCCCCACTGCACAACTGCACGTGTCTTGTACAGGGGAGGATGTTTTGGGAAAAAAATTGATCCTAGCAAAAATGACTTGAGAGTTTACGGGGTTGATTTAGTGCGCAACATTGTTCATGTGAGAGGTACGTATTGTTAAAGATATTACTGGGATGTTAAATTTGATACTTGCTTAGGTTTAAAACTGATTGCAACTCAAGAACGAAGACACTCTGTTAAAAGCTGAAGGAAGAGAACGCAGCCCCTTTAAAGGCTTCTTGAAGTGTCCTTACACTGTCTGGGTATAATTGATGAGTAACATGTATGTACATGTACATGTGTTACTATGTAGGTGCATAGTACATGCGTATGTACATGTGTGCACAGTACATACATACATGCATGTACATGAGGCATTCTTTTTTAAGCTTGTTTGCACTGCTTTTTCAGCGTTTTTGGAAAATTGATATGTAAAGCGGTGGTGGCCACAGAATTATAGCGATTCATCATGATTGTCAATACACATGTTGTTCAATCTTTCCTTTGCTCAGATTTGTTTAGTGCACACAAGTTTACCCATTTGTGGACTGTTGTTGGTAGATGGTCTCGAAATTTGCCTGTGAAATACTTGCATGGTAATGAGGAAAACAATGTCCGGTTTAAACTTTCAGTCTACATTGAAAATGTTCAGTTTATGTTGAAACTAGACGTTTGCTACATTGGTAAGTTTTTGTTGCACTAAACATAAGTTAAACACGGTGGAATCTACATCTAGCACTCTCCACAAGCTCAATGCCTAAAAGATTTTTTAAGGAAATCTTTACAGTCCTTGCGAAAACGCCTGTTTGCCAGTCCATAAAGGAGTGGATTTATGGCGTGGTTTACGTGCAAGAAGTTAACCATTTTGTCAAAAGTGTACGTCACTGTCTGGGAAGCAGGCTGCCCTAGGATGTTTGCAATGCTTAAACCGACAAACGTCCAGTATGGTAACCATGACAACACAAATATGAGACTGGTCAAGAAAAGCATCAGCGTGGTTCGGTTCTGCATGGTGTGGACTTTGTGAATGGTGTGTCTTGTGCCTGTACTTCTCTGACGATTCGGAGCTGTGTCTGAGTGGCCAGTCTGGATGTTTCTCTCTGTGTCCTTGGAGGTCTCAGTATGCTGGAGCCTTGTCGGGGCCTTCAAGTTGGTTGGGCGAGTAGCAATCTTGGGTGCCAGAAATGTGGTACTTTCCACAGACGTGGCTCCTTGTTGCAAGGCCGGATTCAGGGCAATTGCTTTAAGTTTGGTGGGTGGGGTGAGCTTTCTGATACTGTTCAGTGTAGCAGTCACTGTTTCCTGCCATTCTGAGATGTTTGGGACAGGGTTGGACCGCGTGTGGTCAGAGCTCTGTGCGTGATGAGGCCACGTATGCACACCCACCTTGACGTGCCGCCGAACTGCAGAGAAGACTTTCAAGTAGCACACAAGGATGAGCATCACCGAGACAACAAACATGATGAACTGGGCAGCGAGGGTGGTGAGCTTCATCTGGATTCTCAAGGGGTCAATCACGACGTGCAAGACGTAAATGATTTGGATCAGTGCACTGAAGATGAGCGAGCAGAGAATGGCAACCTTGGCCAGGTGGGGGGTCACCCGACGCCGGTTTGAACAGCACACGCAGTCGTAGCGGTCCAAGGCAATGACGGCCGTGATTCCGATGGACAGGGAGACAGTGACCATCATCAATGACTTGAGAATCAGGAGGGCAGTGCCCCACTCCGTCGAAGTGGCTATCAAGCAGCTGGAGACCACCTCATGGGTCAGGAACAGGCAGGTGAAGAGGTCGGCCCATGCCAGGCCCATGATCAGGATGTGGGTGCTGGTCTTGCGCAACTTGTCCCAGTAGACGCCCAGGATGAGGCTGTTGCCGGGCAACCCAAAGACCATCACCAGGGAGCAGAGCACAATGCGAAAGATCTCGCCCCAGAGAATACACTCGGGAGAATCATCCCCCATCCCATCAGGGCTCTCGGAACCGTTTGTGAAAAAATCAGTCGGCAACATTGCCATTTTCAAAGCAGGAGGCCCAAGATTCTGTCCAAGTGCTGATCAGTTTGAACCCTTGCTTATACCAAAACAAATTCACTTTATAATGTTCAGTCGTCTCTATTACTCATAGATGATGACAGAAATTCCTATCTGATAACATCTTTTTTGGCTGTCGAGAACTGATTTTCCGTTATTCAGCCGAACTTGATGTCTAAAACAATGCGTGAGTAGTCAGTAAGCCGCAGAATTAACCTTCAGTGTGGCCAGCAGACTGTTGTCAAACTCTGACATACCGGTGAGGCAAGCCCAAAATGTCAGAAGAGAATGGATGTCAGGTGGATTCATTTGCGGTACTCCCCCACTCGTAATCAGTGCAAAGGTTGAAGATTTCATCTCCAGCCCCTCAAACTACCACCGCCCCTCCGGCGCAGCCAACGTACAAGTGCCTCTTCAAATGCTCAACATCTTAAAAGCTAAAAATGACAAGTCCCGGAAACATGCTTTGACCAGTGTGGATGTATCCGTCTGTGTGTTTTACCAGTTTGGATGAAGGCAGAGATAAGTGATATCAGTAGTCACATCAGGGAGAAAGAGAGCGCAGAACAAGATGAAAGCTCAGTGCATAGTATTTGTAACCGGGATAACAATTTCTCATTCCTCTTTTACTGCTCCACTCAACAGTAAAAAAGTGCTTATTTATCACTCTCTTTAGGCAAATCCTTTGATTGTCACTCTGTTGTCAACTTTTTGCAGTTTTATTCACTTTCCAAGTTAATTTCTTTGCATCTTGTGGTTGTGAAAATTATAGGTTTTTTGTTAATGCTGTGTCACTGAGCATAGATCCAAAGATACGCACGTTTTGGTTTTTGTGTTCACGGGAAAGCAGTGAACGGATTTGTAATTTGGGTATGTGATGTGTCAGAAATTCTCCCTTATTTCTCTTGTTTTGTTGACCGTTAAATAAGCAGCAAACACTTCTGCATGATTCTGCTCAGTTTGAGCTCAAATTTAACTTTTTCTCATCTCTCCTTCCTGAGCTAGGGCAACTAGTGTCATGTTCAGGGTGAAAAAGGTCTGAAATTTTTTTTTTGTACAACAGTTTTGCTGCTTGGTGGGCTTTAGATCATGCATTTTTTGAATTGTGTGATTGGCTCGTGTTTGATCAGTCTATGGTTGTCATGATGAAAAGAATAAAAGAAGTATTTGAAATGAGCTTTTTAGGGGGCCGTTTTGGACGAGAAACATTTCTCTTTTTTTCCCCTCCCAGAATAGACAACTTCAATAAATAGTCTTGACTGCTCCAAGGGTCTGGAATGAGACAAGCGAGTGGTTGGCAGGAATGGACAAGAGCTATCCAAATAGTCTTTAAAGCAGGGAATCATTCTTGCCAAGTATTGCCAAATGATTTTAATCAATTGGTTATCCATTCACTCTACCCTGTGGGTCACGGGCTTTCTCATGTGGTGTTAGGAGCGAGCCTGTCACACACTTTGCAAATATTCAAAACGACTCATCTCCTGTCTTTACCACCAGACTGGAACCTAGTCTCCTCCAACATTTTGCGACAAACCCAAAAAATGTATACAAATAATTTGATGTAAGTTTTAGGAAAATGAATGTTAGGTATTTCTGTGTTGTTTGCATCCCTTTTTTAAAATTACCATTTGGCCTTTTTTACCGAAGATTCTGATTGTATTTGGTTTAAATATTGGCTTTTGACTGGAGCGGCCTGTGGTAGAAACATTCTGGCACTGAGGAAGTATAAAGTGTATGAGTGAAGTGACATCTTCACTGACAAACTCGCAAGAAATTGAGTTGGTTTGGGATGGTGTGGATATAAACAGAAGCGAACCTATGCTTAACTTCAACCGGCATCTGTGTTGGGCATACACGGGGGGAACGCATTTTACGTTTCCTACCTCGTGAGCACATGTTTTTGTTTTCTCCTTTAAAATTGTTCTTACACTTGGAACATTCTTTTTAGTTTAACAGCTGGATTTCAGTTGATGGTTTTCCTTAACCGTTCCTCTTTGTGTTGCTAGAGATAACCCTAACCCCAAGTCCCCAAACTGTCTCTAAAACAATTTTCAAGAAAGACGATAACCTTAATTGCATTCATGGACCTTGCTTAGTCCACACAAGGTTTGTAAACAACCTGTATGAAAAATGTATGTGGACCTCTCATTCACAGGTCAACACAAGGTTTGTAAGGTTAGCTCTACAGTTTTGCACATTTCCCAACAAGTTACTCATGCCGAAAGCTGTGATGGGTACCCGCTCGTTGATATCAAAACCTGGTTGATTTTTGGGGGGCCCGGGTACCCGAAAAAAAATTCCACGCATAAAATGTATGTGAACTTTAATAATGATTGGCAGAATTGCTGATAAATCACCGTGCTGCTAAAAAGCCAGTCCCGCAGTCATAACTCCGGTTCAGGGATCGACAGAGCTACTTTTGGTTCAAATTAAAGGTAACATTTTCTTGAATAAAAAGGTGGGGGAGATTCCTTCTGACACTTAGAGCAATGTGCTGCTTCCTATTATGAAAAAAGAGCCCTGTTTTGGGCACATGGTCTACCGGGATTGTGCTCAATGCCATTTGTTAAGTGTTCTTTGTATTCTAACGGTACCCAGTATTGGCATAAAACGGGTACCTGGTTCCAAGTATACCTGTAAATTGCACACCCCTGCTCATCATGCATACTCTGTACGAGTGTGAGCAAAATAGTGCAGTGTGACATTGTTTCAGGGGACAACATGCCTTCTTTATAAATGGGTGGAGTGTGCCGCATGCATACATGTATGTACATGTAAGAGTCCAGGCTGTGACCACCCTGCTCCGTACTTGTGAAGACCATGTACAAATATGTGTATTCTATGATAGTATGTCACTCAAGTTGACAGGACCAAAATATTGTGCGAATACGTAGGTGCACATAACTTTGTCCAAATTTTCCTGATAAAAGCTTCCCCCCACCTGAGCAGGGTACAGGGTAGGGCATATATCTGGGACACAGCATGCTTATTCAGTACACATGTTCCTTGTGTAACACATGTACTCTCTCTAATGGTTTGTGGTAATGTTTGGTCTTGAAATGCGAAAAGAAACCAAAAATGACTGACTTCCTTACCTTCAGGTTATCAGCTGGTAGCACAGTTATTGTTCCGTTATCCAATTACACCAATCACACTCCAGAAAACGAGATACATATCCATTATCAATGGTTTCCTTTCCTTCTGCGCACATCACATGTGTAACTGGCACGTTCCACTTGCTACTACTTGATGTACACGACGGCCTGTACTCTGTGTGGGTTCGGCGGCCATGATTTCCTGAAGTCACAAATGAGCCGTAATTTTCTTTTCCTCACCAGACTCCATGATGCAGCGTGAGGACGCGACGTGATTGGCCCGTCCCAAATTTCGCGCTTCCTGTTGACGCTGCTGCTAGACTGTGCACCCGATACTGGTGATGCCGGCTGGCTGTACAGTATGTTACGCTCTCAACGTGCTCGCTGTAGATTTGTAACACCCCTCATAGGTGGCAAAAGGGCAGGATCTTTACAGCGTCAGCCATCTTTGAAAAGTGCACCATCTTGGAGCTGTGTCCACTTTGCATCAAGATCACACGCACTCACCCAAACTGTAAGTGCAAGTTATGCAAATCAGTTCAGAAGTTTGAAATGATTCATGAAGATTGTCTTGAACTTTTTTCTTTCATTTAATTTGACAAATGGTCATTGCAGCTGAAGGAGAAACAGCTCTGTCTGAAACTAGAACTTAAAGATAAATTAATCATTCAGATGACTTTTGCAGAATGAACTTTGAGTCTTTTAAATGAGCACCACTAGGACACTTCGTGATCGTTTGTTCCAGATTCTAAGAGTGCCCGTGACCAATTTGTGGGATGAAGAACAGAAAAATCTAGAGCAATAACAAAACATTAAAAAAACGTGAGGCAAAAAAGAGAAAGTTACATCTTCAACTACAATTGCATGTAGTAAAATATCATGCCAGTTAACTTGTTCGGAATTACCATAGTCCTACTGAGTCTATTTATACATGTACAAATAGATCTGCCTTTGAGGAGGTCTACCAGCTGGTCCAATGGATATCAGTTCCAACCTCCATACATGTAGAATGTTATAGTCGTAAATCATACATGTAGTTTATGAGGCTTACATTGTACGTGTACTTTGCCCTTGTTGATTTTGGACTGTTTTCCTTTGAATTTTCAAGTCTCTTCAGAAAATTGTGCAGGGAAGTAACAAACAGAACTTTTAAGGGTGGGCACAATAGTTTTTCACATGGTTTTATTTGTGTCTTTTTGTTTCTGTTTGATTGTTTTAGGGTTGTTTAGGTTTGTGCTTCTTTCTTCGCAGAAATGATAATTTTCCTCATAAACACTATGTGCAGTCATTCCATGGTTGAATAATGAGTGGTCTACACATACGAGTACCTGCACTTTCACTTAAAGTAGTTTTGAGGGGTATTCATTCCATATCTCATTCAGAGGTTTCAATTTCACTTTCACTTTGCAAATTATTCTTATTCCCTCGGTATCATCAGAGTCACATTGTGTCCAGGAAAACTTGTCAGTGCAAGTGTTTACGCCATCCATCCAGACAACATTGCTCCCAAGAAACATTAATCATTCCACCCCTACGTGACACAAACAAACCAACAAACCTCTTCCCTACAGTGTGTATTCATTGCTTGTGGGTGCAGTAATCCCCGGCCAGAACAGCGTTTGTAAACTACTGTCCAACCTCTGTCTCTAGCTCTTTCTAGTATCAACTTCCAGATGGCACTAGCATAGCGGGGCCATTGTGGTTCAATACAAAGACTGACAGGCTAATATCAAAATACATGTGAGTTGGAGCACACCTTAAGTATCCTGGTTAAAAAAAAAAAAATTAGAAAAAAATAATTCCCTCTCCTGTGCTATTTCTTGACAGGCAGACCTGTCGGGGACTGGAATCCGTCCTCTCCATGCATTGATTTTCAAGATCTTGTTTCTGCATGCTACGATCTAAACTGGACGGTGACATTCCCAATTGAACAGATATTTCAGATTCGATTATTCGTTATGAACTAAGAATGCACATATATCAGATTCCAAGTATTTATATCAATCAATGAACTGCTTTAAGAGAACCACCGAACGGGCAAACGCTGGTCGTTGTCCGAATTTTCAGTCGTCACCTGCCTTTCATATATAAATGCAAATCACCTGCCAACAGCTTTGTTGTTTTTTTACCCTTATAGATTTAAAGATAGAGTATGCGGTAGCTGTGTTTCTACATGTAGCTCATCTTCACGCTTCTGAGAATATAATTAAAGCAAAAGTCAACTGTTTTCCCCTAAAAGTCATTAGTCAAAAAAAATCAGTTTTTATTTACCGAGGACTGAAATTCTGTTAAAATATAGGGTTTGGATTTAAAAAGACCCAGCTGTTCAATGTTACTGCTGTCTGCTAATCTCCTCCATTAAATTTGTTCTCTAGTACTAATGCTAGCATGCTTAAATATATCTATGCTGTCTCCAGCTCTAATGGTGAGATTCAATTGAGAAAGGTTTCATTTCTAAAATTTAATTATGGAATAAGCCTTCCGTGCCTCATTCCTCTATTCCCTGAAGCAATACGTGTCCGAACTCGGCAAATGAATTGAAAATTGTTTGTCTTGCTGTGCACCCATGTGCATAGCCCTTTAGCTGTCCATGTCATGACGTGGTTTTTATGGAAGATTATTTTGCTGTGAAGTATACATACGGGTACATTCCATGTTTAATGCTTGCACATTGAAAGCAAAGTTTTTGTGCAATGTATGCATTGCCAATGCACCGTATGCCATCTCATTCCATTGTCTCTTTTATTTTATTCCTAAAAAGTTGCATGGACAAATACATGTACACATACAGTAACATCTGATCTTCAACAGGCTGTCGCTAAAGAACATCAAAGTTATCTATTCGTGTAATGTTCCCCCAGCCAGTACTGTACCCCATTCTCCTTATGCCCAAGGCTGGCTATGGGATGATCTTCAGATATGATATTAAAAAACAACCGTATAAGGCATACTCCCCTAAACTTACAAATGTACATGTATGTACGTGTATACATGTGTGCCACAAGTCATGAGTCATTCTACCGTGTCTATGAGAGTACTAAACTTTCCTGTTAGTTTCCGTTAGTTCTAATATGGTACATGTAAATGACTGTAATTGAGGCCAGAAAGTGAGTTTGATAATAAATACCTGTGCGGTTGATTTTCAACAAAGTTTATTAATTAACAAGAACAAAGTAGCATCTATTCAGTGCTATTGTTGTAAAGATATTTGATTGGTTAATTTCAGTGGAATAAACACAACGTTTAGCATCTTTAGATATGAGGAATGCAACCTGGTGTTGTCACATACATGTAACTGGAAAAAAAAACCTTTTTGAGGGTAGTTATGTGCAAAAGCTACTAGTAGTGATAGGATTAAGAAATTTGTGTGGCATGTTCTGTCCAAGAAGTCAGACACTTCTTGCTACAGTTTCCAATGAAAATATACCCAAAATATGTTTTCGTCTCTGTGTTTTCACAAAAGTTTGAATTGACGTGATTTACTGATATGTTTTTGACTATCTGCCCTAGAGCATCTTCTTTTATCTTTGATAGAAACACGTCACAAATGAGTAATGTGAGCTGAGGATCATATAAGTTCTAAAGTACAGGTCTGTAAACAAGTGGTATATTTCTGTTTTGCCTCCATGGTAAATTGAGCATACACTCCATTAACTGGAACTCAATCGTGTGTCAGAATTCCAGATTTAAGTGACAGGCATCGGCAGTCGGTAAGAAAATATGGCCAGTGATGTCGCTGAGAGGCATTGTGTATAAAAGAGAAGTTTTGGCCTGAGGCCATGGTTTTCGTGAATGCCCCAGGTATCAGTTGGTGAAGAGAAATTGTCTGAGCCCTTGTGACTCCGAAGGTTAATTCTCCTTCTCCGTAAGTAGACACTCTAAATTTTTAACCACACTTGTTGAGTTTTTGTTAGATGTGTAAAGTTTCCAAACACCAGCTTACAAGTAAATTTTATTTACAGTAAGGTAAGTGTGCCCTTGATTCGGGACTTTAGTTTACATTGCACAATCACAATGATATTTCACAATGTCATTTTAGAGATTCATTTCTCAATTCTTTTGTATGATAACCTGTTCCATTATCCTCTTGAACAGACACGATTGGTGACACTTTGTGGATGAGGTATATGGGCCACTCAGAGTGTAATATTGCTTTTGACTTGTCATCTGGTTTGGAAATGCTTCAGAGCTTTGGAAATTGTTCAGTCTATTATTTTAAAGACTCATGGATGTACATGTGTAACCGGTACATGTACACTTCATCATTTTTTATCTCTGGGATTAAAGCTTAGTTTTTGGCATCAGATATAGCCAAATACTGCTCCTAATTTCAGACTTGCATTTTGGAAAATTTAGTCTGAAGTTTTACATCCACTCCATGAAATTTGTCATTTATACTTACTTTCACAAAGTGTGACAGCAAGGATTAGTCAATAGATTTGTTTTCTGTATCACTGAGAGTTTACATAAAATTTCCCTCATACTAGTCGGGAATCATGGGTTGAGAGGAAAGTGGCACAAGAAAGATGACCTAAACGGTATTATCTCCCTGTTACATCTGCAACCAGTTTTTCTTCAAAATATCATGCTGAATAATTTCTGCATGATATTTTGATATCCAGAACTACTAGAATAGTCACAACCAATGCTATAAGTAACGATTGAGCCAATCTAAGTAACCCGTTACTGGTGTACCGGTACCTTGTATGAAGAAAACGGTCCATATGTCACAATACATTCTCCAACCTTGTGGAAAGATCCACCTAGTACTTTACATCACAGAACATCCCTGTAATATGTAAACTGAACTCTTCATATTGCTTGAGGTAACGCCTCCAGATTTGTGCTACTTTTCTCATCCCTTTTAAATAAACCTAAAGTGCAGTGAACAAGTGACACCATAGTGTTGGGCGTTTAGCAAGCTCTTTGTGTGCCCACTTCGCAGTTGTCTGGTTCAATTTAACACTCTTCTGCACAATTTGGAAGGGCAAAATGCTTTTCAGCCATGTAAATAGTGGAGGTGCGGAAAGGTTTTACAACATAATGCCTCATACCCATCAGCAATTAAAGTGTATCTCTTTTGGAAAAAAAAAATAGACTTTGCCAGCTCCTCTTTTGTCCGGTATGCTGGTATAACATACATTTTGTGATGGTACAAAGTGCAAGTACGTACATATTTGATTTGGCATCAGAATAGTTTGGCACTTTAAGTTGCTGAGTGTCTCAGGGTGTTTGACGTCAGCTTGATGGACAAATTCTTCACTGTGTATTTTAATGGAAAAACTAAGACTTAAATAAACAGATTGATAAATAACCACATTTATTGAAAGTTTTCAGACGCTGAAATATTTTGTTACTTATGTTGATGGAACTTGGATGATTTTTCTGTCAAACCTTTAGAAATACTCCAATGTGCCTCATGGCAATAGAAACCTGAATAATTTTGAGTTCATATCGTATATACTGAATTCCTCCTCTAAAGAAAGGAACCGGATAATATTTTGTCATTTTTAATGTAGCTTGAAAATAACAAGCAAAACAAAGTCACTGGAAAAAAATCATTGCTTTGAGTGACCTGGGAATGCTTGCTCTTTAATTTTTTTTTCTTGTCCACATAATAATTATCTGAATCACCGGTTGTGCTATAACTGGTCTATTTAAAGAGTTGTATTCCAAAGCCCCAAGTTATTTATTTTAGCCCAGCCGTTGATCACACTGAGCAGCCCCTGATTGGGCACCTCGCAGGAGCCATAGTGTGCTTGGCTGCGAGCTCGGCACGCCAAGAGTTGGAGAGCCGCAAGTGCAGTGACCAGCACTGCCAGCACCTCAGGCAGGCAACAGGATCTGTAATTGTACCGATAGGTTGATCCGTGTATTTGGATAAGGCTGGTGGGGCCCCCGCGCCCCGGTTGTAGTATATGAGATTTGATGGGGCCATGCCTGGAGAATAGGTGTGAAATATGCGGTGCAAGGACTGGTGAGTCTAATTAAGCTGATTTGACCTTGTAGAGGGGATTGGTTTGGTGTGGTCGGAAATGTGACTGGTTTGATTTGCATAAATTTTTGCTGAGGCTTTTTTAAGAGAGAAGACACACAGGAGGTGATGTTTGTATGGTTTGTAGTTTATCTAGTCCTAATGGCAAGCTCAGGAGGCAACCATAAGCATGTTTAAGTGTTAGTGAATTTCACTTATCATTAAGGCTTTTGGGGGGGGTGTCTGGATTTGTTCATAAAGACAGTACAATTCCTGAGAAAACACCTACGTGGGAAAACCAAACATTTGAACAGAAAAACTGATGACTCACTGATAAATGAAACAAATGGCTCAAAATGACATCACATCCAAGACCAAAGAATACCAGCATTCTGTCCTTAACTCTGATCATTCATAACATATCTGAAACACATTTGAGTAGAGTGTCTGAACTTCTTTACCGGATGAATTGTCTGCTTGTCGGTGAAAATGTAAACTTTTCAAGTCCTTAGCTTTGAGATAGATTTTTTTTTCCTGTAGAACAAAAACAGTTACCCCAGAGCCACTATCTCTCCTGTTTACAAGCCCAGATTAGCAATAAGTCATGAGCACAACTACATGTATATCCTTCGTTGGTCCTGAAGAATGCAGAGAGCTGTTGCAGGGGTTGAAATAGTTATCATAATTATTTACCCAACTGGACGTGTTCCGTCTTATCATCAACTGGAATCCCTGGCTCGATATGGATGCAGCTCTTAAATGCCATCGATCATACTGGATTCTCACTGTTATATCCCTCCATGTTACAAGAGAAAAAAAATGCTAGTGTTTTGTGGGTAAGACTCGGGGGGGAGGGGTCATTTCTCAGCTCTCTTGTTGCACCTGCTATGCATGAGGGGTTTCCAAATTTCAGTTACACTGTACATGTACATCTTTATTCTCAGGCAGGCTTCGGTGTAAATTTTTCCCAGTAGAGTCCCTGAAGCTCAGTGTCAAATCCATTGTCTACAGCAGGAACTTCACATTTGTGCTCATTTTGACGAGAAGAACCCCCCACTGAGAGAAAAAGAGAGACAGACTAGTGTGGAATACTTGGTAGAGAGGACACACATGGAGACCTTGCATTTCAGCAGAAACTAATCATGCTCAGTGCGTTCGGCACCAAATGTGCACAAACTTGTATGCACCTGTAGCATTTTTCCTCCTAAAGGGATGCAGACGTTCGAGTGCCATGTCGTTTTCTCCATGAGGGTGGGGTAAACTTTGGACCAAATCCAAGTCTTTTCATTTTGTGCCTGTAGTAAGTGTTTGAGACTGATCGTGGAGCTCAAAATGAAGCTGGAGGGCAAGACAAAGTGGAGATTTTTGAGATGTCATAGAGACTCAGCAATTCCATCTTGTAGATGATGTCAATTTTTGCCATAATAAACGTGAATACGTGTATGTCTGGTCACACTGTCCGCAGGTTTTTGTTTTGTAGGTCTATGCATGATGTGGGGGAGGGGAGCATAACTGTGTTCTTTACTTACATGACAACAGAAGATTGAAATTGTCCTTGGTGAATTACTTCGAACTGATTAATTGCTGTGTCAACATTTGATAGTAATTCAAAGTAATCAAGCACCCCAGATCAGTGTTTGAATGATTAAGGTGTCTGCATGGACTCGCAATCAAGAGGTTGTGAGACCCCCCCCTAAACCTAACAAATCTCTGCAAACTCACTGAAAGCGCAAAGGCTCATCAAGAGGAAATAGTCTAGTGAAGCAGACAATCCTTAAATGCAGAGCTTTAATCAGAGCTAAAAAGCAGAAATTCTTTAGATTTTTGTGCGTCTGTTGAATTCAATGACTTTTTGAAAGTCATTTTAGATGGATATTGGAGAGGTGCCAAGAAAAGACCATTGCACCTGACAAATATTTTTGAAGCTAGTTTTACATCATCCCCAGTTGCTCTGTAATCGTCTCGGAAGAGTTGTGGAATTTTATTTTCAATTTCCAGGCCTGGAAAAGTTGTGGAAGTTGACAAGAATGTGAAAAATTAGGAAAAGACATTGGATGCTATACCTTCATATTCAGCATCAGAAAATTTGTCTTACAGCCAACAAAATGCGATAAATTTGACAAGCTCTACCATTTTCATAGCTATTTTGATGAACTACATGTAAGTGATGAACTTCCAAAGTTTTGTCTTGGAAAAGCCCTCGGCAAAAAATAATGGAGTTTGATTGTCGCAAAGATGCTGGAGCCATTGGTTTGATAGATGTGATTCACTTTCTTGCTTGATTACCGACCCTCCCTTAGAAGCCAGTGATTGTTTAGAAAAATAATCTTGGATTGAAAAGTGCAATGCACTCCTTCATAACATACAGTCTCTTGTATTAATTCTGCATACTGGAGGACGGTAAGCTCATGTACATTGTTTGGTTTGGTGTTTGAGTGTTATGATAAAGGACTGTGATTTAAAGGTGAAGGCTGTAGCATAACCCTGCTGTGATTGGATCTGTCCATCATATTTCATCCCTTTTTTGCCATTTCTCCTGTTCTTTTCTGTCTTCATCATGCTTAGGGTTCAAGGCTTCAAGCACAATGGTAGCACAATTCCCAGGGGAGAAATGACAACTTGGGTGATCCTGCTGATCAGCAAATTTGATCTCCCCCCCCCCAGCCTCCCTTCCAAACTAAAAATTTACATCGGCAAACACGACCTATTGCCACAGGCAACTATATCCTGTCAGAGGAACTTGACGCACGGCTGGCTCTGGCTATGATGAACAGGGGCGGTTGTGTTTGGTAAACAACAGGACAGCTAGCACACGCACAGGGGCAGAGCAGGCAGGTAGTAGGCAGTCTGGAGGGTTGTTTTGGGAGAATGAGAGTCCTGCGCTACAAGCTGAGCCGTCTGTGCCGATCGCGGCTCGCAAATGCCCTCCTCTCGGCCCTGGGCCTGGCCAGCTTCTCCCTCTACCTCATCTACCAGTCAGACTCCATGATGCTGATCAAATCCGCCACTTCCATCGGCCAAATGGACAGGACCTTTGATAGGACATTGGAAGCGGGTCTGGTTGCTGGCGAGAGCAGGGACAGTCTGTCTGTCGCAGGCCCCGGACGGCTGAAGACAGAGCGAGCCAAGCTGGAAGACGGAGCAGTAAAGAAGAGAAAGTCACGGAAGGAGGAAGTTGCAATAGAGGACAGTCCAATTTATAAACATCTAGAGCAGGTAAGAAACTTGCAGAGATGGACATTTGTCTAAATTAAATCACAAGATTTCGGGCATTTTGGAAAACTTTGAATACAGTGGAAAGTATGCCCACTCATGTGCCATCAACTAAATTCCTGTCTGACTCAAAAACCCACACACATTCAAACTGAAAGGATTCTCAAATATACACCAAACTTACCTCAGCCTACAAGGCACTTTTTTCCTTCACGGACATGTATAAGGCAAGCCTAATGCAGGTGCAGATGCCCTCAGATCTTAAATGGCATGAGTTGATGAGCACAAGTATTGTAGATCCACTGTGTTTCAATCAGTTGTAAAGTTTTGTAACCATTGCAGGCATTATTTTCAAAGTTGCTAGCCTATATAGTGTCTACCGAAAAGTGCCATAATTGGTAAAGATTTAATGGTTTTGACAAATCTTTCCTAAGAGACGGTCAAAATGTGGATCACAGCATTACAAGTATCCATCATTGTCGCTTTCCTCTTTGACAGTGGTTCCACTGTAAAACCTTGTGTTCTACACATTTCCAAGTACATAACCTTGTACTTGATGTTCACAGTTCAGGCAAGCACGGTGACAACTTGACTGAGCCTGACGGTGTCTCACAAATGCAGCAACAAGCAGTTAACCTGGATTTGGAGTGACACACTCATGTAGACTTTACCACAAAGGAAAATATTTATTTATGCGCTTAGTGGACCGCATCCTGATTTGTTATGCGCGAACATACTCAACGCTTGAATCATCACCCAAAACTCCATTGGAAAGTCCGCTGAAAGGCTTTCAGGGTTTGATGGGTCTGTTTTGTTTGAAAACATCACACAGTTGTTTGTCCTGCATGCTGCAGAAATTTAGGGTGGAGCAAAACAAATTGTCAGAAATTTCTTGTCCATTCCGGGAGTCTTCTTGGCCACCAGCAGTGGCAGCTGGGATAAGGTACGAGTTCAGGGTCAGGGTCAGTGGTCGACATCAATAAGAATGGGAGCCAGGGAAGTGCCAGTATACCAGTACTGATCCAAAAAGTGCTAATGCCCATAAACTGTTGACAGACACACTTAGGTCTGTAGTGCTGGAGTGGTGAAACTAGGCAATAAACAAGCTCTCATTTTCCTTTTTTTTTAGAAGGGAGGGGGGTTCTTACAAAGACCCTACCAAGGTACCACTGAGTCAGTGTTTTGAGTGTACATCCCCTGACCATTCTTTTGCTAATTTTAATTCACATGTAATTCGTCTGTCTTGCTTGCCTCTTGAAACAAGGCCTTCACAAGTATACTGTTAAAAAATCTCCCCAAAATCTCCAATTAATCTCCCTGTTTCTAAGCTGTTTAACTCATGCATTTACTTTGACCCCTGCTTTCTAGGCAACAATGCAATACATGTTTGAATGACCATTACCTTTTGCAACTGAAAATTTCCCCTCATTTCCAGGGTTCCATTTTTTTTCTCCTGCTACTGAAAACTGAAGTAAAGAAATGCATTCCTTAACTTACATGTATAATAAAGTATTAGAGAAGAGCTCCATACATCCAGACACTTTTACCCATGGTGGACGCAGAATTAAAAACAAAGGGGGTGGGTGCTTGGCATTTTACCAATGGGGGTGGGGACCCCAGATGGAGCTGAGCCCTCTATGTAAGCAAGGTATGTTTTTAAAGTCATCTTTGAAGGTTATAAGCAAGTATTCTGACCAGAGAAAGTATTTTCCAGAAAAGGAGGGGATGAAGGACATTGGATGCACCAGCCTCTGCGGATCTGTGAATACCGGTACTCTACAGTACATTACACTGTCAGGTTGACTCACATCCAGTTTTGATGGAATTCAAAGTCTGGCAGAGTCTTTTTTTACTGGCACAGTGTCATGATCTCCTGCATATGTTGCATGGCTAAGAGAGCAACGGTAATCATCACATTGCTGCTACATAAAATAAAGTAGAGATTCTTCAAATCAACACGGAACTCCTGCTTGTCGTGTTGTTGTGGACAGTCCTTTTTTATTTCGCACAGATGGAGCGGCATGTCTTTTTCAAGTTCCCCCATCAAAAATGTCAGGGGCATATCTGGGAACGTGAGGGGGCTGGCAGGGAACTTAGGGTGAGATAAATCCAGCAGCCAACACCTTAGTCTGCATAGGAGGGGTAGGGCATAATTTATGTCTTGGAAAGAACAGCTTGGCATTCCGTACAGGATATAAGTAATCGACAGATGTGCTGAGACTATTTTGGAATGGTTTGGAAACGGTCCAAAATGCCACTTGAATGTCAGAAGCTCATCATTGAATGTTTTGAGTATGCACCGTTTTGGCTAGAGAGACTTCCAGACCAGCTCTATTTGCAACTTTTATTTTCCTCCAAGACAGCTCAAACATACTTTAGAGTTAAAGAGATATTATTGAATAGATACGAAGGACCGCATGAATTTAAGTTTAGATTGTTTGCGTAAAATACTTTAATAGTTTTGTGACTTTCTTTGTGGGTTCTTTTGCCAAAGCTCTAAGCTGACAGATTCCATGTTTTACTTTGTGTTTGTAAGGAGAAGGCTTCATTTGATAAAATGCTGGTTTGGGGGGGGTTCATTCAAATGTTAACTTGAGAATTTCTTAAATTCAGCTGGTAAAATAGTCAAATATTTCCTGAATATTGTGAAAATATCCCCCAAAACTTTGGTGGGAAAATTATGTCACCCTGCGGGTGAAGATCTTCCCCCCCCCTAAAATCTAGTTTTTACCCACAAATCCAAAGAATCTGGACAAAACTTGTTCAGAGGTAAGAACTCACTGTAGAGGTGATCCGTCACAGACCTGAACAATCCATTAACTCTTATCATGGGCAGCACTAAGGTGTTAGGCAGCCTCTGCCCCCCCCCAGATATCAAGCACACAAAACCCCACCCTGCCTGATGCCCCACCCATATAAAAATCAGACCCTGGGGCAAACACCAAATGAGAAGAGCATCAGTGAAAGCCTGTGCCAAGCCTATCTTGTTTACAGATGTGGTGATTACCCTGAAATGTCAGGAATGTCATCAAAGGGTTTGGCTGGTTAGCTTGTTCAACCAGCTGCTTTTAATCAATAGTGTTTCATGAACAATCCATATCACAGTCTGAATCTGTAATTTTTGCATAAATTCTGAAATACGTTTGGATTCATGGACTGTTTTTAATTGAAGCAATTTAGGCCAAATCTAGAGAGGCTACCGGGGGCCAAGCCCCTCCCTTTCTCCCTCCTTCCCTCTTCCCCGGCAACAATTTTTCAATATGAGGAAAAAGTGATTTTTTGGCATCTTTTGGGAGAGGGGTTTCATAATTCCATTCAAAAGTATGTAAAAAGCACTAAAATGTATCCCCAACCCTCAGAAAGGCCATAAAAATTAAGGTTTAATTAAAATTTCTAAAGTTCTGGCCCTCCAAAAAATACAATTTTGATCTCCTCCTCCAAAAAGACTTAGTTCTACATCCATCCTTGTGCCCAATTGACTTAATTGTTAGCAGTCTATCACAAACATTGGACAGAGTGAAAAGTTACTTTCAGTTTATTTCATTTTCATGTTTGATGTTGTTATTCAACAGCTGTTTCAATTTGAAAAATGCAATTTCAAATGGTAGTAAGTTGAAGATGACTGCTATGATTCTGTTGCCACCACAGAAAACATTCAATATATAGAGGATGTTTGTGAGTTGAAGTTTTACCATTCTTGAATTTGTCTTTTGGACTGTGCCTGAAAAGTTATGGTTAATCGGCAAAAGACACATTAAATGTGTGTTCCAGAAATAAGGTAGAGTTTCAGATTGAAGTTTAAGACTGTAAGCTTTGGTCTTGGGAATGCCGGTGTTTCTAAACCTCATTTGTTTTTGTATGTTCTGAGAATGCACTTGATCACAAACCAGATTTTCTTCATTGTTAGTAGGCTGACACAATTATGTACGCATGGCGTGTAAAAATATTATTTTTAAACACGTCTCGCACAGTTTGAGAACCGCTTGAAAAAGACCTCTTGTTGGCACTCCTGCATGTTCTGAAAATGGCAGTTGAAAAAAGTCAACAAATACACCTACTCTGTTGGGTATGAAAAGTTTGTTTACCCATTGTCCTCTTTTATGTGGATTCCCGACAGCTGGAATCAATGCTCCTGAAACAAGCCAAGACATTGAAGTCCAGATCCGTAGAGGTCAGAGGTCAACCAGAGGTGATCAACCGTGACCTGCCACTCTACGAAAAGGCATTCACCAAACAGGGTTTTATTGTGCGGCAGCCCAGCAATTATGAAGAGGCTTATATTGTTAGTAACAACACCAGCGCTGCATGGGATAATGGTAGGTGCTGTCCTCAATTTGTACTCGATATAGAATATCTCCATCCAGTAACATCCATGTACTGTCACAGTTTCCAAAGCCAATTCTAAGATAAACTTGTACATGTATACTACCAGGTCCTCATACAGTGCTTATTCTCTTTATTCTGTTTTCCAGATGCCTAAAACATATCCAGATCATGTACAAGGTGAACTTTCACAGATTGAACGTGACACAGCTTCCTCTTTCTCTTCTTACATTCTCTTCCACAAATCAGTCACAAGTCAATCACAAGCCAATCATAAGTTATCCTGTCCGTGGTAATTTATATGGCATTTTCTGTAATGGTTCTTTCAGCACTTGCAACCCGACCCTTGGTTTGACTGGTAGAATTAACTTGTCATCCAATCCTGATTGTTTGTGGCTTCCATTCTGTTCAGTATCAACTGACTTGATGACTGAAATATATGCTAATGTGTACTGTATTGTGTCCATAATACACCTACATGTAGTCTGTTGCCTGGGATCTAGTGTCATCCAATCAAACCACAAAACAAGCCATCTACATCATAGCATCTGGCTTTTTAAATCTAAGATGGTAGTTTTATAGGCATGGAGGAATACAACATATACCTCCATGATTGCAGTCAGTATTCACTGTGTCGATGACAGTGACGATGACAGTGACGCTAGAAGAAAGGCACATGCCCAAATTTGTATCCTTGTTCTCTTGTTCTACAAATACTCGGGTGTGAAAGGCAGTTTTCAAAATGCTCTCATTTGAACGAGTTACTTTTCTGGGTTAAAAACCTGAATGTTCCTTGTATAAAATACCTGGTACTTCAGTTTGTTATATGTAATTACACATTTAAAATTCCTCCTTTTTGAATAAGTTCCAAATATCTATTTTGTGAATTCCTTGTGGAGACCTATTGTACTGGCTCTCCATAGGGTGTCATGATGCACCATATTTGAACATACTCTGATTAATGGGTCTACATCCGCAGCTCAACATTTTAATCATGTGAAACAAACAAAGCAAAGAACAGTGCCATTTTCCTTGTTCCACCGAAATCTGATGTGTCCAACTCCCTTTCTCCAGGGCAACCGCAGGCGGTTTCCTCCACTGACTGGCGGGGTTGGACAGTCCTCCTGTGCCTGGCATTCACCGACGGGGACTCGAAAGATTGCCTGGACAGAAGCTCCTTTACAAAGTTACGCAGCAGCCAGAAGGTGCGGGCTAGCATTACCGACTGATGGTAGAAACCGGCCCTTGGGCTGAAATGATTCATCAGGAGTGTCTTTTGTTGTTCCTCCATTTGGAGGCTACTTGAGGAATACTCCCGGGTTTTGTTTTCATATGTGGCACATCGAGCAAGGTGGTTGCATGGGGTGAATTGTGTGTATGATCTTAGCATAAATGCTTGAGGGCCCTATGTTAATTAAAGTGAGACAGCATCTGTTCGCTGGTAGCATTGGTTTGGGCAACCATACGCTGTATGCATTCCTCTCCTATGCAACGTAACTCTACCGCTGGCAGAGGCGATGCAAATATTTATTAATGGACACGCCCATCTTGTGCCCATGCATTGTTGTGTTTTTTTATTCACGAAGTACAGTGGGTCATTTTGTTAAAATTGAATCACACTGCATCCTTTCCTTTGTTGTTTGTAGGCCAGGCATGTACTCATTGCCCGGAGAAACAATTGCTATGCAATACACAAGAAATGTGCAATGCACAATATTTTAGCTGGCAACTGGCAGCTTTCGACAAGACAATATTTCTGTGCCCAGCTGGCTCTTGTTGGCCTCTGGTAAAAAAAAAAGCGATGGCTCGGTCGAGAAACTGTGTGCTGGCCAAAAAATTAACCATGACATAGACAACACTGTATCTTATCTTTTATTAACCAGAATGTATACTTGTATCTTGTGAGTCCATTTTTCTTGTTCATCAGGTCAACAGAATCCCCGGAATTCGGAACATTTTATGGAAGAAGGACGGTTTCTGTCACACCATGAACCAGGCTAGGAGAATTCCAGGTACATGTATTAAGTGCTGGCCTATCTCATATCCACCAGGGTGAAAATTGGGAACGTACGTTGCCCGTTGGGTGGCATCTAGTGAAGATAAAGGATTTGTGATGACTGAGCATCAATCGGATAAATGTATGCATGTAACATAGGAAGAAACAAGGATCTGATTCCCAATACTCAACGGGAGAGGCCTAAGCATTCGGCATTAGGGTAAAGATGGTCAAATAGTCAACTTGCTTCACGACAAAAGAACTAATTGCTTTTATTTAAACTGATCTGATGTTGATTCATTTCTCTCTTGACAGCTTTAAAGAAAACTTACCTATCGCCGGCATGCTGGGTCATGCCAAGTCAATTTGACCAGTTCTTGGGAGTGGCCGATGCATCAGGAGATGAAGTATGGTGGGTGTTCAAATCCACCAGCCCCGGCGGTAACATTCAGGTCCTACAACCGACCAAAGAGAAAGACTATGCAAGAGTTAAAGAGTAAGTACTGTGTACTTGTGCATTCTCCCCATTTTGGTTGTCTCGTTACAGTTGAACATCCTGTTTGGGTTTTTTTTTTTCAGTTGTGAAGGTGCTGGGATAGTCAAATCTGTGCCATTGGGCGTTGGTTTTCTTTGGGGGGGGGAGTACAATTTGTACAGAAAAAAATCTGTTTTGAAATCAGTTGGCTTTCAAGGAGTTACAAAAGAAATAAAAACTATCTTTTATATAGTATCCTGTAAAATGTTGCTTTCATTCCATAGCAGCAGTTAGTTACCGAAACTTTAGAGATCAAAAGCAGAATATTCCTTTGAAACTTTGTTTAAAATTTCTAAGAAAAGTGTTTGTTTGGACAAGCTTTGGTTCGTTTGTACACCAGAAAGCTAAACAGTTTGGGTTGTGCTATAGAAAAACGACTTATTCATTTTGAAATTTTGTCTTCTAGCTGACAACACCCAACAGGTTTGTATGTTATGGCTTTCATGACATGCCTTGATGAGTTCTTACTTTGTCTTCGATTTTTCCTTCTGTGTTTTAGATTTCGTTTTAAGAAGGCAGTGGCACAACAGTATTTCCCTAACCCGTTACTCATCTTTGGCATGCCAGTCAACATCCGGGCCTATGTCCTGGTCACGTCCATCAACCCACTCAGGGCTTTCATCCACTCCGAAGGGCTGGTTCACTTCAGGCACGACTACCCACGAGGCTTCAAGAAGGTCGGTTACCTCTGTAGGCTCAGACATTGTCACAGACTTCCAAAACAAGTGTCTCTTCAGACTTTCAGAAGAAACTAAAAGTTTTTATTCTAAATCTTACTTGAGTTTGTTTTAAATCATACGGAAACTTCTCCAACTCTCAGCAATAACTGAAAGATGTTTCTATTAGCTATTTTAATTTGGATTAGGAAAGATTTAAACTTTCTATTCAAGTGCCAATCTTTATCATCATGAAATAAATTTTGTTAGACAAGGGTTGAAGTATAGTTTGGGTCAGACATGGTATTTCTAGGAAATTTGTCACGTCTCATGCATGATTGCGTTTTCCAGTTAAATTAATATGCTTTACTGTAAAAGATTAAGGATAACCCTTCTCAGCTGAAGTCATGTTAGCAGGAATGGGTATCTGTGGGTGTTGCACACCCCCTCCCCAAACCTTTCCAGAGAGCCCATAGGAATGGGTATCTTTGGGTGTTGCACACCCCCCATACCTTTCCAGAGAGCCTATAAAAATGGGTATCCGTGGGTGTTGCACACCCCCTCCCCATACCTTTCCAGAGAGCCCATAGGAGTGGGTGTTTGTGGGTGTTGCACCCCCTGCACTTGTTTGGATTGTAGTACTTGAATATGGGGGATGCTGGAATGTACAACACCCTACCCTAAATAGATTTGATTGCACATTATTATCTCCAGCAACCTTTGGCAAAATTGCGTTCCAGCCTGGTTCCCTTCATGCCCATTCATCAAGTTATTTGTAGTTATTTTTCCTTTACAGATTCCAAACAGGACCTGGTACCTGGCTCAGTTCAAGCATTACCTGAAGTATAACTTTGGCTATGATGCAGCCGAGAGGGCCTTCCAGAACCTGGCAGCAGTCATCGTCCAGACCTTGCTGGTGGCCGAGTCGTCACTGGTGGCACACTTTGGCCGCTTCTCAGCCCATCCATGGGACGAACATTACAGGTTGGATGATGATGCTTGTTAATTTGTTGGTTTGGGTTAGGTTGGGTTGGGTTAGGTTAAGTCGGGTTGGGATGGGCTGGGCTGGGCTGAGTGCATTGGTTGGGTGGACTGGTGTGGGTTGGGGTAGGTTGGGTTGGGGNTTGGGTTGGGTTGGGTGTATGGGCCGGTTGGGTTGTGTTGGTCTAGTCTGGGTTGGGGTGGGTTGGGTTACACTTGTTTACGGATTCACTAGAGGCCGCTTCCCACTTTGTGAAAAAACAAACAGGAACATGAGTTCGTAGAGCTATGGCAGATATTTGCTGCCGATATACAGAAGTTGAAAATGCATCTTAATTTCAACGAGTTCTTTAGTGAATGCTGGACGCCGTTAAATTTTTTTCATGTTTGTATCTTAAACTGACTGACTAGTTAAAATCAGTGGACTGTTTCATAATTGATTAACTGACCTTGATTTATTAAGTGACTTATTTTGATCGATACATTGATAAAGAAGTGATTTTGATGGCTTAATGTTTTATTAATTCAAAAGAACAGTACTTTATGAGAGTATATGTAATTCTAGTCCTTTTCTGTGTGATCACATCTTCAGGTGCAAGAATTGTTTTCAGCTTCTTGGATTTGATGTTATTTTCAATTCCACACTTCATGCAATGGTTGTTGAGGTAAGTAACAAATTAAAAGGAGAGACATTTCACAGATAGTTAATTGTGACATTGGGTATGTTTTCACCCGAACAGCATACCCTAAGTTTCCTCTGGAAAGATATTTGCAGGAGTTTTGTGAATCTTCATAGACAACAGAATTCTCCTTATAGGAGGAGGCCACTTTATATCTTGAATTATATGTACGTTTTTAGGTATTTGCCTTCAAAACCCCATAACCCTTCACTGATACTTCACTCAGAATATGAAAAAAGAAAGACTGACCATATTTCTTCTTCTGGGCTATTTCTCAGAATAGATTTGGAAGCTACTCCTTAAAAGCATTTTTTTCTCATGTTCATTTTACACAGAGGTGTTTTTTACAAAAATATCATTAAATCCAAGACAGTTGCAGTGCAGCTTTTCAAATTAGTAATTTGACACAGAACAACTAAATGGGAAAACATGATTCGCAAGCAGATTCAAAATGATTATTCAGAGTGCAGTTGATGATGAATAGTCCACTCTCTTGTAATCCTATATTATTGCATAGGTCAATGGACAGCCCCATCTGCAAGCAAACAGTGACACCACCAACTGGGCTAGCAAGACCATCAAACAGAACACCGTTGATGATGCCATCTCCATTCTCGTGTCTGAGACAATGGTCGCCAAGGATGTTGCCCTCGCACTTGAGCATCTAAATCTAAATGTTGGAATATTAGTAAGTGAACGAATACCTCTTATGAAAGGTATTCATGTAGCCCTTAGCACGAAAAATGTTTAAAGACTAATCCAAGGAGATGGCAATGTTCTGGCGGCACCACACTTGCACTTTCATTTTTAAACTTGAGTTGTGCCCATTTTGGGGAAATCCCAACCTCCCATTGGTGGAAGAGGTATGTTTTGCAGGCCTGTTACCTGCTTGTGAGTGTGGTGCCGCTAAAGTTACGGCTTCTAATTCTGGTCACCGGACTATTCCAACTACTTCTTTGTTTGGGAATATTTTGTTACTTAACACAAAGAAAACTTTGATGTATTTATGATCTGTGGTTCCCTCAAGTAAAGAAAAAAGGAATTTCATTGACATTTTCCAATTTTTTTTCAACTATTTCAAAGATGGATTTGTACTGGGGAGATGTAAATTAATTTTTGATATTTTTTTTGGCCCTGCCCGAAGTGTATTTTAATGCTGTATACTCGGTTCATGCCCCCCGAAGGCTTGTGAAAAAAACCACAAGCATACTCGGGTGGGACTCGAACGCACGACCTCCTGCTTACTAGTGCAGACGTCTTAACCACTCTTAGACTGGATAGACAAACAACCTGTTAAAGTAGTGCAAGAAACGACGAAGGTGTTGAAAATTTGTAGCATTTTTCACTGCTTACTTTCATATTCCTTGCTACCACTCTTTCTCGCAGGGCGTGAACTGCCGCTCCAACAACCAGATGTGTCTGACCCAGGAGGACTTGGAGTATCTCCTAGCAACCAGACGAGAGACTGTCAACCGGGGAAGTTATCAACAGGTAAGGTAGACAGACAGATTTGCATAATTATGTGCATGCATTCATTCAGAAAATGTAGATAAAGGTACGTGGCTGACTCACCGGAGAAAATGAAGGATACTCTCACATGTTGCTTAAGGGATATGGTCATTGTTCAACTTAATGTGTAAAATATGGGCTCGTCATATTGAGTGTCAAAACTTGATCGGAACGTGAACCTCAAATATGATCTTATTAGTTTTTGTACAAATTACCTATGTGTTCCTACCCATATAAATTTGATTTCATTATGTGCCTATGTTTGTTATTGTGGACTTGGTGCCCTAAATTACTTTCCATGAAGATTTTTTCCGCACGTTATCCAATCTAAGTATAAAGTAAACAAGACAAATTACTCAGTTTTGCAGCTTTGGTTTAGTGTCATCAGTACACATTATGGTTTTCCTAACATATAAAAGTTTACAGCTCAAAAAGTTAAAAGTTACATGTATTTGTACCTAATTCTTTTTTTTTCAGTTTCGGAACTTTGACGACAAATTGGAGCCATTAAATTTTTTTTCCAGATGAACCGATTGTTGTTATCATTTTAAACCACTTTGCATAGAAGGACACATAAACACAAACTGACCTTGAATAACCTCTGGGTGACATCTAAACATGCCATCCTCCATATGTTTGTACACACACACAAAACCCAACAAATCTGTGAAGGCAGGTGATGTGCCGAACTTGAACTTGGCAGCTGCGCACAACCTGTGGTGGCATTACGTAGGAGGTATAGAAAGACTGTGTTTATTATTATTTTGAATTATTTTGATTATTGCGAATCAGGATTTGCAGCTTTGGGCTGCATATCAAAGGTTCACCACTGCATCTTGCCTGTTTGAAAGTCAGAATTGTTGGCCTGAAATCAATCTGTCGGCAAGTGGGGAAGCCAGTTTGATCATGATTTTGGTCACCATTTTTCCTGTGCAACTCAGCTGTACCCCTCCTACACCAGCCTGAAGTACAACAGCCTCCTACGAGACATCCAGCACGTCCTCGTGTCTCAGCTGCAGTTAGACGACATCCCGCCGTACAACCACCAGGGGGCGCTGCTCACCTCCCCGACGCACCGGCATGGCACGGCAGAGCTCCAGCATGTGCTGGCCAACCTGGAGCAGTATTACTGGAGCATGGACAGGGGTCAACAGCAGGTGATGGCCGGGGCCGTCTGGAGAGAGACGCAGCAGAATCTTGGCAACGTCACCAGTCCTCACTGGGATACGGGACGCAGTGATGTCTTGATCGGCAGCGCATTTGAGATTGACCCAATGTACAGGGATCCACGATACCACAGACCAAGATGTAGTGATGGTGAGTCCAGGAATATTCTAGTGAATGGAAAATAAAACGAATGGGAACTGATTCGAACTGGTGACTTTTGGAACACTACAAATGCTCTACCCCAGAATGTGATGTAGTTATGGGTACCCCACTTATGTTAAAATCTGAATGCTGCTGGGGGACCGAAAACTTTATTTTTGTCCCCAGAAGTCGATCCCAACTTTTCTAACAAAAGAAATGATCTCCTTAACACAGGGAAGGGCCTACACATGTATGTTGACAGTCTGCAATGCTGTTTAAGCATCTTTTAAGGTTGCCCGTAAGAATTTGTACGCCCAGTTCAGTTTATTGAAAATTGTGTGCTTTGTGAACTTTTTGATTTTTTTTTCTACCAAATGCTTGTTTTGTCTTTGATCTTCATGGTGTCTTTCCATCCTGTGTTTTTTTATTGTTTTCTCTCTTTGTGTCATTGCAAATACCTATCAGCAGCGCACTGCAGAAAAAACGTTTTTAAGTTGTTTCACCCAGCCTTCTGGGGGGAGAGAGGGTAGCCGGTTACCATTCAGGTTTTCTTTTAATGATCAGTGGAGGGTACCAGCTCCGTTAAACAGGGTTATTAATTTTTTTTTTAGATCCATCAGCTGTGCCAGAACTCTTAGACCTCCGGACTGACCCCATGATCATCCTCACCCCAACTTTTGACCCAAAGATCACCGAGTACCAGGCTGTGGTGCCCCATGAGATGGCTCTCATCAAAGTTTGGGGATATGCCAAGAGCTGTGACTGTGAGGCCAGGTTGGAGGACAGACACGGTGTGTCAAGGTAAATGGCATCAAATTACAGAGTGGGACATATGTCCATCACAAGTCCTTACAACTCCATTACAGGTCTTTACAACTCCATCACAACTCCATCACGAGTCCTACTAGTCAATCACAACTCCTACAACTCCTTATAAGTCCTTACAATTCCATGACATGTCCTATGTAACTCCAGCGTGTCAATCACAAGTAGTCTACTCTCAATTCAGGCACAAGCCATCAAAATGAAACCTTACAAAGAGAGCATTCCATCTTTCGTCCCCCATGCGAACAGAGGAGTGGTGGACTTGTATAACATGACTATAAAGACCAATCTGATGACCATGGTCAGAAGGCAAAACTCTGAGTGTTGATTGGCTCATTGATCAACTGGCATCGTGACCAGTGACTTACGACTTATGTTGCAACCCCTGTTTAAGAGCTCACCCACGAGCTTGGTGCCTCTGCACTACTGGCATTTTATTTAAGTCTAGTTTGTGGACTAGGAAAGTTTAGATTTCTTGTGACAGAACACGTTTATGAAGTCACTTGGAGCTGGCCAAGAGCATAGATCGTCAGGGTCGGCTTTTAAGAGCTGGTCACTTTGTAGCAGTCTCAGGTCATCTTCGTTTACTGTTGACCATCAGACCCTCCAACTACACCTTAGGAGTTGGGGAGAACCGGATCAGCATGCTGGTGGTAGACATCACCCACTCACAACCCTGGGTGGTCAGCACCTACACGGTGTTCATGCATCGCCGGAGTGTCACTGACGGGGAGGCAGACTTTGACCACACTGAGAGGCATCAGGTCTGCAGCCTGGTGCAGGTAAGGGCATGACTGAGCCTTGGGGACGTGGGGCTGGCTTGACAAGGTTACTACGACCCTCTCTTATGCGTGTTCTCAGGCGTGATGTGCCCGTGCAGTTGGCAAATCACGACACTCGATTGGTCAAAAAAGGCATGTCATGCACACGCACTGCCTGTTCATGAGCATTTTACACTGCAGTAGTGGCGTCTAATTCTGCTCACCAAATCACACCCTCAAAGATTATATTTCAGCCAAACACAATTAGATATGTTGTTAATTAAAACTTCCCTCTTAAAACATACTTTCGCAACGGCAGTATAAATGCTGCTCAGCAGTTTCTACTGCAAGATGTGATTGTTCCTTTAATGCCACACTTCCAGGTTAACTGGGATTTGTATCAAGTTTGTGCACTGTGATGTGTTTAAAGTGAGAGTTGAGGTTGTCTCAAGGCCGTACACTGCAGAACTTTATTCTTTCCAGTGCAGATAGATTACTGAAATTTATGCTACTTTTTCGATCTGTCTGCCTGGCGCAGGAATGCACTCTGCAGTTTCTTCAGGGGTCTTCCTGTGGATTGAGTTTAGTTCCTGATCTCTCCTGGGAGGACTACGTCAAGTCTAAGCCACACCTGCCTTTGTGTTCCAGTGGTGACATTCAAGGTATGTTGAAGTATAACCTTTGACCTGATAACTAACTTTAAATACATCGAGCCAAAATCGCGGAAATGATTAAAAGATTTCAATTTAAAGTGGAAGTCCAAGAAAGATACGTTGTTTGCTTGTTTGATTCCATTTTTTTCCAAGTTTTTCCAGGAACTTGTAAGCTAAGTGTTGTTTTGAAATTTCCACGCGCCTTGATATTTATGGAATCAGGCATGCTGTCATAGAAGGAGACAGCGGTTGGTGGAAACGTACTTTTCAACAATTTCAGAAGCATTTTGTCAAACTTTTTCATTGGTTCCCTTAACCTGTTAGGAGAGTGGTTGGTTCCCTGCAGCCACTGTGTAGACAAGAGGAGCTGTTACTGGAGGGAATCTGTGTGGCAGCCCAAGGGATGTCGGTACCCCGCTATTGAACAGGACAAGTTACAGAAGTGTCTTGCTGGGAAAAAGGTAAAAATTTTTTATTCTAATAAACAGTACTAAAACAACATTTATATAGCACAAACGGCATTGCAATGTTCCTTAAAGCACCCAGCGTATGTGAGACTGGAACTTTCAAGATTTTTATTACCACTTTATCACAGACTGGATTGAATCCTTCGCATTTGTCAAATCTTACTTCGCAGCCGTTTGGAGAGTACTCAAAGAAAACACAATTCAGTGTTGCCAATAAAATTGACAAACTGCAGAATTTTCCCTGAACTTCAAGAACTTTCACTGGATTTTTCCCCTTCCTATGTTTTTTTTTGCCCAAACCCGGCGGTATACACAAGGAGTGGTTTTTTCAAGCGTTTCCAATTTGTACTCAGCATATCTTACATGTCACTGGCTTCACTAATAAGTTTTAATATCTTCCAAAAATTGTCTTCCAAAAGTGATGATAATTAGAATTGAATATCTTTAAAATGTTTACACCTTGTTTACGTAGCTTCTTTTCATTGGAGATTCCACCAATCGGGGCATAATGTACTACCTCATGGAGAAGCTCAACGGCACCCTGACAGAATGGGACAAGACCCACGACATTAAGGTCTACACCAACCTCAACGGCAACCGGACAACAGTCAGCTTTGCCTACTACCCACAGTTCTGGCTGCCGGCCAGCGAGAGGCCCGTGTTCGACAAGGCCCTCTACCAGCTGATCCAGCACTCCCGGCCACTGGAGAACAGCGAAAACACGGTGCTGGTGGTGGGCGGCGTACACTGGCTTGCCACCCACCACCTGAAGGTGCTGCAGAAGGCACTGAGAAGGTGACTTGAGCTTACTTAAAGCTTTCCTCGAGAAAAAAAAAGATGGCTCATCTGAATCAGACTTGAATAGGGTAATAATGTAGCACTACAACCACAGTCTTGCTGCAGAAAGCAAGAACGATTTTACATCTGATGCTAACTGGCAGCTTGGGTGGCGGTCTCTCGGTGCATCACAGAGGCTTTGCACCGCTGGATAATATTCCATGGCTTCTTGCATGGACATACAGTCTTCATTTATTTCTGTATTTGCTCATATCAATTTTATAACAATTAGATCTTAAGGACTTCTTGCAATTTCATCAAGTGTTTATTATTTGTGTGATTTTTTAGGGAGGGGTTGAGTAGCATTCGAAAGATAATGAAGAGCCTTGGAGCTGGTTTCCACCAGCCGGTGGATGGCATGCACTGTCTCTCATTGGTGAGTGACGCTCCCCTTGCCTAGTAGTTCTTCTGGAAACCCCCCCCCCCCATCCCAACCTAATCCATGGTGTCTGCTGTCCTCCTCTGATCCCTTTCCTGCCCCCATCACGAGTGGCATAATGAAGAGAGACTTTTCTAAAGGTCACTCTGTACACGTGAGCAAGTGTGACATGACATTCGACGTCGGAAAACTTCCGAGACATGTTCAACATGTTCAACTTGTATGAATTCATAACATAAATACATGTTGAAGTGTAAGAAATTTTATAGTTGATTTCAACACTGATTTCAGAGAGGTCCTATCTAAATTGTTCTCTCAGTTTTACTCTCTAGGGTTTACAAGGGCCAATACCCTAGTTTTGGCTGTGTTCCATGCCTCATCTTGTCTGTCCACTGTTATCCTGTTTTTACCCCACTTTCCTCTGTACAAAATCACAGCAAGAGCAGCGTAAGATGTTCTACCACAACCGCGGCATCCTGGACTATGCCAAAGACCTTCAGTTTGATGTGGTGGACACATTCAACATGACCATGGCCAGATATCGAGAGTTCCTATTGGGCAAATGTGCCTGCCATTTCCACAGGGTAAAGAATATAGAAAAAGCATTCTGAAAAAACTTTGTCTATAACATATTTATTTAAAAGGATTTTGTTGAGATTGCCAACAAATACCAAGTATACCATATGAGCTTATTTTGTCATGAGTTCTAATAGAGCAAATAAATTACTGGGAGTGTTACGTAACCCATGTGAAATTTTGATGCGGTCAACATACTTCACAATTATGCTTTTGTTAAATGAATTTTAATGATAAATTTGTCCCAATTTTTATTTTGAAACACCATAGATATCACTCTGTCCAAAATTTTTAACCAAAATTAAATAATTTTCATTGAATATTTTCATACTTTCTCGAACAACCACACACCAAAAATTTCAATCACGCCTCACTTCATTAACTTTGTCATTTGTAATGAAATGCAACTTTTTCTCTTTTCTGAAATATTTTGGCAGGTAAACGAAGTCATTCCAGATACCAGTGCAACTTCCAATCCCATCCAGACACTGTGGAATTTCCTCCAGCCCTCGTCTGAGGGTATCAACAGGGGTAAGACCAAGAGAGAAGACCGCCACCAGAGGGCGCACTACCACGTGACTGGTGAAATCAACGCGGTATACGCTGAAATTTTGATCAGCAGAATATGCAGTGCTTGAACTGCTGTGTTGAGTATAAAAGATTTAATTCTATCCTGACTGAATGCATCTCCATCATCCACAGACCTACATGTACCAGCAAAGTCGTCTTATCAGACCAAGGACAGATCCAGAAGTGAGTTTTTTAGGGGCAGTTATGTTTTACCAGAGGGCCAACTAGTTTACCAGTCATGGCTTTTCTGAGACTTGAGGCTACTTTGTTGGGCTTTTTGCATGCTTTGAGAAGGAAGGGAAATAAACAATCTCAGAAGAATCTTATTTCCCTAGTTATATCCCCCCCCCGATCAGACTAATGTAATGCGTTCTTTCTCTAGTGTGCTCAAGACCAAAGACAAGGTTTCTTTGTGCAGATCCGACAACCAACAGCAGAATGTTTCTGATTGGGGTCTCGGGGTACTAGACATAAGTCTGTGTAGTGGGGGAACTAAATGCAGGTGTGGGAACATAAGACAGAACTTTCAAGAAGTTTAGGGGAGTAGCTCGATTGCCCATTTCGCCAGTAACATCATGAGGTGTTTTGGCTGCTCGTAAGTAGAGGAGGTAACCTTATTACACATATTACCTTGCCAGATTTTACCAGTATTTATTCTTCAGTAAACTCTTGCCAAAGTATAACTACTTTGATTAATTTTGCCCGAACCAGACAGAAGAGATGACAGAAAATTTGAAAGCCGTTAATAATTTGGGGAAATAACGGTAATTTGTTTTAGTCTACCGGGACACTCTTCATCATGTGCTCTAGATTCTAATGCACTCTTTCCAGCTAAAACTAGGATCCAGACGGATTTGATTCAAAGATAATTTACTCACTCGAGTAGAATGCAGTTTCACTTCAGTTGCCACCGGAAGTGGTTCTCTTTCAGACTATTTCAGTCTAAATTTTCACTTTAGATTGTTTGGTCCACAGTTTCACACTTGATATATAATAAGGTATTTTGTCAAAATAACACACTGCATTATATCACCAAATGACTACTAGTAACAGAGTTTTTAACTTACCACAGTTGTGCAGAAGTGTTTAAATTTATAGTGTAAAAATGACTTTCCAGATGCGATGAGTGAACTATACATTCAAATGATGCAAATTTGGTTGACCTTATAATTTTATGTGGACACAATGCAATAAAGATTTAAAACAATGCTGACTGATGATAGAGTTTGTAGGAAAAAAACCACAACAGTAGCATGATTTTTCTTAACTTTCATTGTGTACATAAGAGCTATATATTTATAAAGATGTTTTCTAACGACCAACGATGCACAGTGTAATCATTTGTTTGAGGCTTCCAGCATCTTAAGCTCGTTGATGCAAGTAAATAAATGCATTCAAACCAGAAACAATTTTAATACTGAAATGTGTTTTCTTTTGCACCCTTTCCCATGTTACACTTGTTCATCAATTGTTGCTTAGAAAGCACAAGATCATTTTACATACAGAGAAAGCCCCGGTAATGGAAGCATTGTGCTTGCTACTGTACATAGTAACCAGAGCTGGTAGCTTTTACTGAACACAGGGCTCAATTATGCCTTCGTCATTAATTCAGCTTCTTGAGTATGGTTTGCATCCGAGCTCAGCCTGTTCAATACAGGATTTTTGACTGTTGGAAACAGTAGGTCGCCAATTTCACGGAGTTGCCTTAGCAAAACAATTCTGCTTAACTACAAAAAGGTGAAAACAAGTTGTCAATGCAAATGTACGCAATTTGTAGGTGCAAGGTAAATTATTTCTCACATAGTTTTGTCTCTTTCCGACTGTATGGTTTCTGCTTGGCAGTCCGTGACTTTGGGCAGGGACTTTGAATTTCCCATCATTTTTGCATGCATTTTTTCCAGTGGATTTTCTTTCGTAAAAGGTACTCGGTGTAAGTAGCTAAGTCTCCCCTAAATTGGCGCAGTCCGGGCACAAAGAAAGAACTTTTATTCCAGAGTTGTGAAGTTCACTGGCTTAGTGTATTTAGATGCACAATAGTTTCACAACTGTTCATAATATTGAGAAACTTCGACAAAGCAGACATAAATACTTATTTCACGCAGTGTACTGCAGGGTTCGTATTGTTTGAAACAATGTTAAAGCTCTTTTCAAGCGCCAAGTTTACTTTGAGAAATGTCTTGGTTCGGAGTAGGCAAAGTCAAAATTTCCCACAGTGAAAATTTCTGTGCTGAATTGAAAAAAACAAATCTCAATACAGTTACATCCTAATGTAAAAATTCAACATTTTAGACAAAAATTAGAATAGTTTCCATGTACGTTTGTTTAAGTGTTGATATTTTTACTCGCATCTTTTTAACACCAATCTTTGGCTGTCCATTGTCACCGTTTTCTAGCCTTTCAACGAACCAAGTCAACATTCATATTTTGGCAGTCAATGTGATCCAGATATCTACAGCTTACACCACTTCCAATTAAGTGCTTTGAGACAATCTGAGCATCTGTATTGATAATGGATGAGTTCAAGTCTGGCAACAAGCCACACGCAGTGCCAAGTCATGTCAGGCGGATGAACTGTTGTCAGTGTTGATAACTTCAATATTTGTGGCCAGACTTTTAACTTGAATCGAGTTGTAAAAGATAGATGTCAACTCTTGACATCTTTTACAAAGTGCAAAATATTGTAACAACAGAATAAAAATTAAAACCCTGAAAAATTGCACTGATTATAATGCACACGTGTAAAGCTTTAAAAACATTTTACACATTTTACACAAGTCGGTTTAAAATTGTCATTTTGACCTTGAAAATACTTACTTGTACATTTTTACCTAGAGAACCAAATATTGTAATTACTTGGTCTGCGCTTTCATGGATCTGTAAGCCCAGCCACTCTGCAGTGCCATTGCCAAAGCTGGGTATGAGACGGGAGCGGTGCTGACGGGTCCCGAAGCCCTGAGCGGCAACATCCCACCCGACAACCCGGCAAAGGAAAAGCCGCCGATTGCGGCCAGAGCCTGGGCCACTGCCGCTCCGCCGGGAATGATCGATGACGCGGCCGGCAGAGTTGAGGAAGTGACCACGGGCAGTTTGGGCAGTCCGGTCAGACACACCTTAGCGGAGGGAAAGGGGCAGATTGCCCCGCCAACTTCGGCGGGTGCGTTCTGCTGGAGCGGCGCAGTCGGCAAGAGCACAATGTCCGACGAGGTTGGACAGCCGCCAGGAGTGGGTGGCGGTGTTTTCAGAGTTGACGAGACTGGAGGAGAGACGATACGTGCTGGCGATGTTGGAGCACTTGCTTCAGTTTTGCTGACTAGAGGGCGTAAAAAATAAATAAAAGGATTTTATAATGATATATATGAATTGTACTTTTTCTAAGATGAAAGTAAAACACATGCCAGAATAATAAGAAAAGTAGATGACCTTGAAAGGATAGTATTCTATTTTCACGATATTGCCATAATAACATACACAAAATATGCATGTTTAAGTTATCGAACAATACTAAAACATTCCAAATTGCATGAAACTTCATTTTCTTTATAAAGATAATTCCTCTGTTTAAAATTCTTCTAAGTTTTCAAAGAATTCAAATTAAATGTATGTAATAAAGATTCTGAGCAAATGCATGTAATCCTGTACAGCTATAAAAGAATTCAATGTGTCAAAGTCGTTATTGGTCGGCGACTGATCGCAAGTTGTATAATGAATCGACTGATCCATTTAATTATCCTTCAATTAATTGATTGATATATCGATTACTGATCGACAGGTTATCCCCTCACTTTTTTCACTCGTCTGATTTTCGTCGTCTTCCTCCGAATCACAGCTCAGTTTCCTCTTTCTTCCCTCGTTTCCCTGAAGGATCTGATCGATGGAGTGGCTTGGTTTGGCCGCAGAGGGCGCTTTGAAGGCTAACTGCCCTGCAATCTGAGGGGAGGGCCTTTGCGGTACAGGAGCTGGTAGCCGCGCAACTGGGGCGGGTAGATTTGTCGTCATTTCCTGCTCGTTGAAAGAGAGGTATTTCTTCGTAACTGTAATGAAGGGATATTCCCACTAATACCTAAATGATTTGAAGTAGTTAAAAGTGTGGATGGTGACACGACTAGCTAGCAGAGCAATTAGGTCTGTTCATGGAGGTAGCTCCATGGTCAGTTCGAGAGAAGAGACGAGATGTGTTTGAATTTTTAAGGTATATGATTTAAGGCCTAGAGCAAAATTAGTTGTAGACCTAGCAGAGCATAGCTAGGATATTTACTCCTGGGGGGGCACAAAGGGGGCACGAGCATCTTATGGGGTACCAGCTTTTGGTGGTGTGGTTTTTTGGGGGCAAGTTTTTGTTAGCCTTGTTCAATATCCATTCATCCGTTTTTTTTCAGTGGGGGGCATCAGGGGGCACTGGGAATTTGTGGGGGGCACGTGCCCCCCCCCCGGCTACACCACTGAGATCTAGGCCTACTCATTTCCCAGCATTACAAATGTCCTGCCCTCTTTAAGCTCCCATATTTCATTCAAGGAACTTCATTGAAGATTATAGAAACCTATTTAAAGACCAAGTAGTAACGGAGGCTCCTTTGGTCGGAACTGAACTTCACCGAGTCTCTGAACGATTAGGAAATGCAAGCGTCACGGTCGCATGCTACCAACGAAATTAACACTCCCGACCAACACGGTTCTTTTCAACATTTAGGGGGTGCTTCTGCTCCAGGCGGATTATGTCAATGTCACTGGTCCTTTCAAGTAGTGATGAGCTGCTAAATTACTGTGTCAAATATTAACGCATTTAAATGTCTTTGTCGGTATTCATTCCCTCTGTCGTGTATGCAAAACTGTGATTAGACTTTCCGGGATTTGACCAGAACCAGCGTGTTAAATTTACTTATATGGTCCGCAGAGAGAAAGACTGGGAATTCTCGCAGTCGGAGATTGTTCCATTTATTGCACTCGCGGCTGGACAAAGGGTCAATCCTCCATTCAGTCTGTACAGGGATTTGCATGTTTCCTCATTTTTTGCTGCATCATGAAAAAAAAATAACTCAAACCTTTTTTAGAAGAGTTTGGGAGATATTCACAGAGCATAAACAGTGAAATTTAGGGCATATTTGATTGAAAGGTTAAGAGTTTAGTAAACAATTCAGATTTTCAAATAAATCACAACACTGTTTTTTCCCCTTTGAGTTTTGAGTATGACCTACTGACCAATCAGAGGGAAGAATCGGACTCAGTGATGTCATCCCGACCGCGAGAATGAAAGGAAAAGTTCCCACTTACCCCTCCCACGCCATTGGGGGCGCTATTTCGTAGTATGCGGTTGATGGAGCTGACGCTCGGTATGGTGTTCTCGTCGCAAACTCGCTCCTGTAGTAGCCGATCGCGAATCTCCCAGGCAAAGATGGATGGGTTGTCGTGTTTGTAACCCATGATCTTCTTGACTACAAGAGGCGTGGCTACCTGTGTTAGAGTCCGTTTGGAAAAGAG